GTTTTTTTTTCGCCTCGTTATGTTAATGTCCTTTGGGCCGTGGAAAAAAGAGTTTTGATTAATGATGCCACTGGATGACGGAAAGCCGCCACAGCTGGCCCACCTATCCGTCGGAGTTGTTATTAAAAAATATTGTAAAGCCCAGTGGAAAACTCTCCACTTACATCCTGGATTTTCATATTTTTTTGAGGGGTAACTCCTGATCAGCAGAGCCTCAAGTTACGCTACTTTACTCTTTCAATATTTAATCAATGCTGAGAGCAAACAATCAGCCAACAACGATGGGAAACCGAACCTTAATCAAAAAATCAAACAATTGACATTCAATATGGTCTAATTTTTTACGCTGCCATTAAACAAATTATTGGGGAAGAGCCGGGGAAAAACACGAAACGAGTCCTGGCAGCCCATTTTCCCCAGAGGACCGCAACGACAACATATCAATAAACCAAACAACGGCCAGGACAAACAATGCCGAGTGGAGTGGCAAGGATGCCGAGGAAAACTGAGCCCTAGATTGGTAATTGAAAAATGCGAATGAAACTCTATATAGAGCACGGGCCGTCCTGTAGTTGGGGTCCATGCTGCTGAGCCAGACTGTACTGCGGTGAATGTCGGGGGTCAGACTGTACCTGCCACTGACAGGAGCACAAAAAGCAGCAATAATTGCGGAAAAATTTGGTGTAAAATGAGGCAGAATCGTAGGGAAAACTCAGATTTACTGCAAGATTCACGCATAATTAAGTGCACTCAAAAGGTGTCCGCACAAAACACTCTTTCTTTGAGGCACTGAGAGAAAATGTTGGTAAAATGCCTCAAAATATCTCACATATAACTCACATATATAAGAAGAAAAAACTACGAGATGAAAGGAAATAGATTTTAAGAACATTTTTCACATTTAAGATTAATCATAGTTAAAGTTTTTCTTATAAATTTTATAACTAATTATTTTAAGTGCACTTTCGAGCTGTAGAGAACCAGCGAAGGACCAGAAAATTCCTACCCGAACAGGACACAAGCTCACATTTACATAATGCCCTGCAGAGGGAAGAGGATTTATGTGTGGCACTTGAGTGCCGCAGATTAATTCAAATGAAATGCGTACAGAACTTAATCCTCCGGACCATTGTTGTCCTGGATGCCAGTCCGCTCCCCTCGAGGACTACTAATTTGGTGCAATAGCGACACCTAGGAATCGCTTTCTCTTCTAATCGCAAAAGTGTCAGCGACCAGGAGAACTTGATGTTTGCCTCATTTCCGCGTTTAATCACCCCTGGAAGAAGGGCCAGTGTCCTTGGGTCCTTTTGTTCCTTTTCGTGGGATTGGAGAAGGACCCAGATTCCGAGATGACAGAAATCAGAGCAAAACTAATTTCCCGTTAATGAGGGTCGCTCGCCCTGTTGCTTTTTCGTGCGCATTTTCCTGATTTTCTTTTTTTTTTCTTGCCCTGATTAAGAATTTTTCCCACTCACACACACACACACATGCGTCTCATTAATAATTTTTTCGCCACTCGCTGCCAGGATCGAGATTAATTTACGCCTCGAAAGGATCTGACGTGCGCCTGTCACCCGGAAATGTCTCTCTTTTGCGGCCCAGCGGCTTCTTTTATCTTTCGTAATAATGTTAGGATGTGGCTGGGGTTGGAGCTGGTCCTGCCGACCTCCTGATTCCTCATTTCGGGGGGAGGAGCTGCTGAGGCGTCAAATTGTTATTAATTGAAAGTCAAAAGTTTGGTGTGCGGTGCCAGTTTTAATTGGATTGTTCGCTTATCTCGCCGAGAATTAATTAATGGAAAATGAGCAACGGAAATCTGTTCAATATAATGTGGTTTTCTATATGGGGAAAGAAAGAATATGTAATGAAAAGTTCATAGGATTTAAAAAGGAATGATGGATTTTGTCACTTAAATTACTTTTATTAACAAAATGTCCCTAAATGGATGATACATGAGTAACAAATTGGCTTTATACTTTGAGATACTTCTGTCTTCTGCCATTTTGCAACCCTTTAACATGATTTTTATTACCAATGAGCTTGTAAAAGTTCATTAACTACAGCTGTAATTTCCCATTGCTGCTTTATGTCCATGTTAAATTACTCGTTTTTGTTTTATGACTTTATGTCTCTTCTGCGATTCAATCTGGAATCTCCCATATATATAGTAGCTTCAATTTTGTTGTATTTTTACCGCCCATCATTGGTATTTCTAATAAAAAGTGCTAAGCCCATGAGGTCATCCAGTGGTGACGCATTGAACTGTGGACACCTCCCCATTGTCATTCATATTCATATTTCTGAATGGAATTTTTGGGCACTGTGTCCTATCTACCAATCCTCACGCGATCTTATATGAAATCATCTGATCTGATCTCTTTGGGAGGCACTCGGCTGGAAGCTGACAACAATTGAATTGATTTTATTGCCCCGGGAAAGTTATGCGCTGACAGGACCTTGGCTCAATGCATGGGCATAATGTCTCGGGTTCAGGATACACACAATAAAAAATGCCTATTTCGTTTGTCCTGAAAAGGCACCCAAAAGCACGGCCATTGTTGCTAGTCTGTTTATTAAATTGTTGTCCCGAAAGGGGTGAGTTAGCCCGAATGAAGGAAGGGGTCAAAATCCGGTCCACCTTTGTTAATCGTCAAGCTGACAATAAATCTTGGCCCTGCCAAAAAATCCCCCCCCAGTTGCGTACGAGTATGAGATGTAATTCCCGACTTGACATTTTCCATGAACACTCAGATACCCTCAGCTCTCACATTTATTTTCGCCATAGACAAAGATTCGGATTGAAGAGCAAGGGTTCCGGGGCAAATATTTCATAAATTGAATTGTTTAGCATTGTTGTCGCCCGACGAGTGCGGCTCTTACTTCGAATTGCTCAACAAAACCAAATAAAATCCCATCCAATATGAGTACTCCGGGGCAGACATGTGTGCAGATATATGTACTTGGGTATCTATGTGATTTATAACGCGTTTAGAATGCCATCGGAGCAATGGGAATGGATTCGAAGCGACATCGAGTCTGGCAGAAGCTATGGTTTAATGGGGAAAAGTAACTAGCAAAGAGGAGGCAAGTATAGGATAGTTTTCCTACTGTTAAGCTTAAAGCTCTTATCTATAAACTATACTATTTTATATATATTATGAAAGTTTATTATACTTTTAAACATGTTATAGGTACTAACATCTTTCATCTTTTAAATTACAAATAAAAACTGGCTTAAAGAGTTGATTGTACTTCACAGGAAACAACCTTACATCGTTAGCTGTCTGGGAAATGCCATAAAATGGTATACCTCACACCGATTATGGCATTTTAAATATGATAAATTGTTGCCCAGAGCTCTCAAATGAAATTGTCAAGAAGAAAGTGAAACCGCATTAAAGATGCCTTACCAGGGAGGGGGATAAATCCTGCTTCTGACACTCGGATGGCCACCCAGTTAAAGCTCAAAAAGGCGAATTGAATTTAAATTTGCTGATTACGGCCGAGTAATGCGAATAATGGTTATATTGGGCCATAAAAGAAATTAACTTAAACATTATTCTTCGCTGAGCACTCAGCACTGAGCACCCACCCCATCTGCTTGGAAAATATTTTAAAACAACTTTCACCACCTTTGAACTTGGTGGGCAAATATTATTGATACATCGGCGGCTTCTCAATGGTTTGTAAACGATTTCTGGAGAGTTTTTCATAGCATCAGAAGGGGGATTTCAAGGGGGAGTCCTAGCAGGGGGCCACATACTACTTACTCGAACAGCTACAACGCATATTACAGTTTTTAGCAACAGATTCTCGAGTGCTGTTCGAGGGGCTTACGCATGATTTTCCGGGATTTGCTTTATGAAATTTTCAAAATTTTACAATCTGCGCAACGGGCGGGCCAACGGGAAGAGTCTCCTTTTTATTTTTTATGTAATTTCAAAATGATTATTACTGCGAGGGGGTGGCGGAAGGGAAATCAATGCATAAATTACAAAATACAGCCGGCAGACAAAAGCTGATCTTTATTGTTATTCAAATCATTTGGCAGCTGCCACGGCTCCATCATTTGAAGTTGGATTCCGATTTTCTGAGGCGCCTGGAACGATGATAATGATTGACTGGCAGACAATCCTGTTCTAATCTGTCAATAATTCAGACCATGTGCTCTGGCTTTTAGCGCTTTTCAGCCCGCGGCCTAGCAAGCTGTCGATTTCCCAGGCGAGTTGGCCTAATCCGATGGAGATGCCGTGTAATTAGGCCGCGGCTCACGGCGACATCCGGAAGTGTCTTTAAAATTGATTCGGATGCGGTTTTAAAATTGAACTTTAGGGGGTTTTATTGGAATGATTTTTGCAATAAAAAATATGTCAGAGAAGGTAGAGAATCTGATTTCAGCAGGGAAACACTTTACGCTTTGGTCTAAGTTCTCTTCTTGAACTTCTTCAAAACTCATTAATTTGAAATTACTTATTTTGGAAACACTCATGTGATGCCAGAGAGAACATTCCAATTTAATTACCCCCACTCTCAGCGTTTTCCTTTCGCGAAACTTGTGAATCATTTCCACAAGGAGCTCTGATAATTTAATGTAAACTTTGCGGTCACGTGGCACGACCTCCGCTCGTGTAAGTAAATCAAAGCAAATCACCAGCCGAACACACAAAATACAAAACGCTAAACACAACATGCAGCACACATCACATATGGGCCAAGGGCAACTCTCACCCATTTCAACCTTCAACCCACAACCCCGCCCCGAAAAAGGTTCACAAGTGTTTTGACATTTAAACGCGTTTTGTGCCCGAAATGACCACCAACAAGAGGTGGACCCGGAGCACAAGATTGATGGCCCAAGAGAGCCCTTACACTTGTGCCCTGATCCTGAGAATACCCCGGAAAACTGTGGGAACACAGGAAAACGGGGAACACACCCAGCCACCCTGGGAAAGTGTAGTTAACCTCTCGTTAGGCCTAAGTTACCCATATGCAGATGGAAATTACGGGGATGTAAGCTAGTTTATTACTATGTGATTGCAAATAAATAAGTGTTTATAATTAAGCAGGTTATCCTGGGAGAAGCACTGAGTGCTCATCCTCTGGCGGTGGCTGCCACATTGGCTGCTTGTTGCGCAATTCCCAGGCCTTGAATGGTGGCGTCCCGCGTGTGCTGGCCAATGCGTTCCTGCATTAGGGAATGTCATATAAATTATTGGTATAAAAATTCCAATCTATAATATTTTAAGCATTTTCTTACAATTTTCTTGCCAAGTTTCTTCAGCCAACCTGCTTCGGATTTCCCAAAGCTGATGGCCAGGATGAGGGCTACGAAAACAAAGATCTTGTTGAAGTTCATAGTGGAAAGGCTGGATTTAAATCCTTGACTATAAGAAAGCTAAAGATCTGCTGATATAGCTGTTGCTGTGGGAGCTGAGCGACTGATGACTGGACTTCGGCTATAGGCGGCTTTTATAGGAGAGACAGCGAAGCTGATTAGCTGATGATGGGGGATTTTTCGCTGTGAAAAGAAAAAGAGCAGTAAAGACGCGACTGCAGTGGATCCCCCTTTTTATGGGAGAAAGAATGTCTCCTACAATCTGTTTGCCCAGCTGATATAGAGAGCTTAGCCTGACAGAAATATAGATTAGACTTTATATTACAGATGATCCATCATTACCTACTTCTAAGTGCTCTGCTGTTAAAATTAACATTTTTATCATTTTTTTGTATTTCCTAACTAATACTAAACTTAATCTCCTTTAACTTAACCTTCTAGGCAGCTTGGAAAATGTAAATTGGGAAATCGAAACGCTGGATTAATAAACCATAAACACACTCACGCAACTGTACTTGATTCTGAAGAGGGGGATGGCCCGGGTTTTAGGCCTTCACTGACATTGGCACATAATAACAACCACCACGAAAATGTAACTTTAATTTCAACCATAAAAAACCAACAACGAGGGGCAGACAATAGACTCGCAGCAAAGACAACAAATGAATTAAATCAGCAAGGGAGGCAAAACACACACACACACAGTCTGGGGTGGGGATATATCTATGCGGCTATATCCGTGGATTTCATGGGGTGGAGAGGTGACTAGGAATAGAGCAGCTAGGAGAGGAAGCTCCGAGGATGATGGGCGCCCTGTCAGGATATGCCACTAATTTCCTTAACAAGTAAAAACGCTTTATCCATCTTGGGCCTTGACTCCGCTTCTGCTTCCTTTTGCAACTCGATGTTGCTCCTTTCCGGTTCCTTGGCCTCTGCGAAATGTAAATAAAATCGCTCGAATTAACCGCTGAGTGACAGCTACAAGTGGCAGACGGAGACACAAAAGGAGGGAGCGAGTCCTGTGTCATAACCGCCAGGACTCGTCTTCATTCACATTCTCATCCTCCGAATCATCCAGTTGGTAGAGCCCACAGCAGCGTAAGTAAGTCAGTAAATGCCGTAACTGGTTCTAAAGGATGGCTCAACTACTCAGACCGAAGAGAGGTATTCAGATGACAAAAGACTTAAATGATATTAAGGTGAAGAAAAAGGTTAGGAGAGGAGTTTCCAGTAGCTTTTAGTAAAGCAAATAGTTAGAGAGGGGTAATCGATCTAGTAATACCCTCTTTTCTAGTTTTGAATTCCTGGATTTACAAATCGGAATACCCAGAATGACTCAGGGAGGTCGTCTCTGACCTTCTAAAGCGGCATTCCCGGAATCTAGATGGGCAAAGATTATCAGTCCACCTGGAGACAATGGCTATGTCAATGTTTGAGCATCTTGGCCTTGCCTTTCCGATAGGGAAATAATCAGCAGATGCCGCCGGGGGAACTTTTTCCCTGGGATTCACATGGATGAAGGCAGAGGAACCTAAATTGATAAACGCGAGGCGCTGATAAAGAAAGCAGCAACAAAACAAAGAGGCAGCAAGCTCAATTACAGGTGTGCCCCTTGCACTGAGCTTGATCAATCACTTGAATCATTTTACTAAAGAGTCATCAAGAATCGGATCTACTTGGGTGTGGGTTCCCATTGAGCTGTGAGCGCTGTCTGTGCTTTTTGTGGGCAGAGAAATCACACGCGAGGAATTCCATTCATAAAACTCATTCGTAGTAAATGTTACCCTGTACTTAGGGTATTTACTCTGGGTATATTTCATTACAAATAACATCTTTTGTAAATGTAATTTATAATCTAATCAATATACTAAAGATCCAACAAGGGACTTTCCTTTAAGAAGACATTCTTCTAGTAGTCATCCGGTTTCTTGGACTCTCCAGCACCTGTTGCCTAACATTCTATCAAGTCATTAATTACGTCTAGTTCGGGTTATAGTGTATGTGTCAGTAAAGCGTTTTAACTTGACTTTAGGATCGTTCAACCCATTGAGTAATCGTCTCCAGATGTTTTGCTTTTTTCTATGTTCTCTGCTGAGGGGAAGCCAATCAAACGTGTTTGCTGAGTAATCCATTTCGCCTGCCGCTCGGATGTTTGGCGTTAATTCCCGTACTTTTTCTTTGCCACTGTTTTTTGTTTTTATTCCATTTGTTTGTGACCACAATTAATGGAATTTATTATGTTTTGGGTAGGCAATGAAGGGGGGAATATATGTTATGGATTGTGGTAGAGCGAATTTGGGAAGATATGTTGATTGAGGGGATTTCTTGTGATCAGGAAATAGCATAGTTTCCAAAGTTGCTATGCCGAGTGAATATCAAAAGTTTAGGGAAAATATTTAACATTACATTAAATAAATTTTACTAGAAATTAGTAAGTGAAATTCTTTCAAAATTTGGTACTCTAAGGCATGTCTTATGCTTTTGTAAAATTATTTGTTTGGATTTTTAAAAATAGCAAGTTATTGACCCTACTTATTAATATACTCGTATTTGTTGCAATCTGAAATGGACTGTGATGATAATACTTATTATAGTAAATGAAATATAGACCGCATCGAGTGATGCTGATAAGGTAACGAATGGGATTTTTTCCGGGCAAAGTAGAGTAATAGAAATGACAGTCTTGTCTTTAAGGAATACAGAAGTACTTTACCTTCATAGAGAGTCAAAATATTCTCAACTTAAAAAATATATAATATATATACAAAGTTAATAATCAAACAATATAAATATAAGAATAATAATTGTATTAAATATTGTTAAATAAAAAATGTAATCAAGTCTTCTCATTGTTGAGTTAGTCACAATGCAAATCAGTTCATAATCGATCACTGATTCTTGAATACCTCTTCAGGGAGTTCGGATCGGAATCCCTCTGTTGAACTCTTGTCTTAGTAAAAAATCCCCGGCTGTGCAGCATCTGCATCTGTTGGAATAGGTATATAAGCTCAATCTCCCTCAAGCCAGTCATCAGTCTCTCAGTTCTTACTGCAACAGCATCAGCTTTCTGTCAGTCCATTGACAAACCAGACATCTCGTCATGAACTTCAACAAGATCTTCGTCTTCGTGGCCCTCATCCTGGCCATCAGCTTGGGAAGTTCGGAGGCTGGCTGGCTCAGAAAGCTGGGAAAGAAAATTGTAAGAAATCTTCTGATGAATTTAGTTTCTATATTTTAATGAATTTATTTTTTAATAGGAACGCATTGGCCAACATACTAGGGATGCCACCATTCAGGTTATCGGCGTGGCTCAACAAGCAGCCAATGTGGCAGCCACCTTTCGGGGTTAAAAAAGCATCTTGAAAATACATAACCCGCCACTTAGACTGCCTGCTAATCTTATTTATTTTATTGTATATTTTGTATTATGTAAACATTCGTAATAATGAAAAAACAAAAATTTAACAAAATTAAATGAAAATCAACATAAATTTATTTTAAATTGAAATTTTATTGATAACATTTTTAAAAGACGCTTTTATTCCTGACCTATGAGTGTTCTATTCAGGCAGTTTTGGCTGATCATTGAGGGCTTATCACGATTGAAACACGCGACGACATTCTATAATTAACTCACAAAAATCTGGGTATTTCCTGGCCAGTGACTATTCTTATCATTTCCTATAAATACATTTAATCATTTCTTGTAGAAATCATTTAAATTTATTTTTTAATCCTTATGCCGTTTGGAATATTCTTTATAGAAACGAAAATATATTTAATGTACTTGAAGTAAGTAATATTAATAATAATACGTAATTTATTTTTCATGCTATGTGTAAGAATGAATGCAACTGCAAAACCTTTCGTTTTTTAAACAATCTGAGAAATTTACCCATTGCCATTAGCCCATAGAACGATTTCAGTTTTTCTTCATGGATATTTTATTAGCTTAAGTCTGTCATTTTATATTAAAATAAATAAATATGTTCATAGTAAAAGCACAGTGTATGTCCAGTTTATCCTCTAGCGGTGGCAGCAACATTGGCGGCCTGTTGAGCGATTCCCAGTCCCTGGATCGTGGCATCCCTAGTGTGCTGGCCAACGCGTTCCTGTGGAGGAGAATCAACATAAGTCTTAAATCAAATAATTTAAGGATAAAGGACTTACAATCTTCTTGCCAATTTTCTTAAGCCAACCTGCTTCGGATTGCCCAAAGCTGATGGCCAGGATGAGGGCCACGAAGACGAAGATCTTGTAGAAGTTCATGTTATTTGAGTTTAAGGAAAGTAGCAGATGTAGCTATAGCTGTTGCAGTGGAAACTGATTGACTGATGATCAGACTAGGAACGGCCTGCGTTTTTATAGGGAAATCAGTTTGAAAGGTGATTCCTGATAAGAGCTGAAAGGGGGTTATCAATGCGAAAAAAGTACCTAAAAGGAATCCAATTGGAATTGAATTTGGGGATCAACATCAGATTTGGGGATTTTTATTTCTCCTTGGCGGATTATTTTTTAAATAACTAAACTTAAATTTTTTAGATTTAGAATTAGCATTAAATGTTTGTGCAAGTCTTGTTTAAAAGACTGCTTAGATATATTTTTATTTAAAACACATTTAACAGCATAACAAAAAGCGATCTTCTCTAGGAACTTGAATTAAAAATAATCATTTTTGTCCTCGGGCGGTAGCTGCCACATCAGCAGCTTTTTGGCCAACCTCAATGACCTCCAGGGCGGCGTTTTTGATATAATGGAAAGTGTTTTCCTGTAACGAGAGTCTTAGTAATGATTTCATGCATTCATATTTATATTAGGAGGTTAAAAACTTACACCACCCTCCTTAATTTTCTGAAATATATTAGCCTCAGATTGGCCCAAACTTATAGCCAGAATGAAGGCAACGAAAAGCAATAAATTAATGAAATTCATTTTTGGTTTATTACACTGTTCGTCTAATGAAAGATGCTGAAACTATTTCGGTAAGCGACTAAGTGAAGAGATTAACAGACAGGGCTTTTATAGGCGATCAGAAGGAATCAAAAAGAAGCCACTGATAAGACGTAATTCTGGGTTTTCCCAAAATTCATAATCATAATTGTTTTGGGGAGATGTCGCGTTCTTTCTAAATGCCTATTTATATTTGTCAGAGAGATGTTCCAGCGCCAATTTATGCTGACAAGAATGATAAGGAAATGCTAGTTTTCATGAGCACAAAGTCGAACAAATTTGTTAAAATGCAGCATTTAAAATAGGCCACCAATACTTAAGTAAGGTATTAACAGAAAAGACAAGGATTTACATTTTCAAATATTTTATTTGCTTAGCAGAGTAGAATAAATAAGACTTTATGTAAATGGTAATCAGTTTATAGCTTATTATGACCGTTAACCACGGGCAGTTGCTGCCACATTCGCAGCTTGTTGAGCAATTCCCAGTCCTTGGATGGTGGCATCTCGAGTGTGCTGGCCAACACGCTCCTATTAATAAAAGTTTAAATTTAGTTTCCAAGTTAAATTTTAACAGAGCGCAGTACTTACAATCTTCTTTCCAATTTTCTTCAGCCAGCCAGCCTCCGATTGTCCTATGCTGATGGCCAGGATGAGGGCCACGAAGACGAAGATCTTGTAGAAGTTCATGGTGTTATTCCTTGATTTGAAAAAAAGCGAAGTACTTTTTGATGTTACTGTTGCAGTAAGAACTGAACGACTGATGATTGCACCAGGAACGCCGAGAGCTTTTATAGGCGAACCAATGTAAAATTCGCTGCCTGATAAGGCATAAGTGGGGATTTTTATTGCGGAAAAAGTACACAAGGGAATCCAATCCGATCGGAATCACTCTGAGCTACAGAAATGCAGACTCAAAATCTGATTCGGGGGTTTTTATAATTTGGATTGACATGGCTTGGCTTAAATAGGGATTTACCTTACCAAAGGTGTCGGCCAAAATATTTTATATAAAAAGAAGCATAGTGTAAAATATAAAGAAGGGTTATTTGGGGGTTTTTTATATAACCTTTTTAGGAATATATTCTATGTGTAAGTAAATAAGCGAAGAGAATATTTTTAAATTCAATTTTTATTAATTTATTAAATATTAGTTGCACTTAAAAAAATGTTAAGCTTTGTTTCCTAACCTCTGGCAGTAATGGCAACATTTGCGGCTTTCGCGCCGACTTCAGCAACTTGAAGAGTGGCGTTCAGAGCGTAGCGACCAACATCCTTCTGTGGATTGAAATCTGAGTAAACTCCACAGAAGTCTTTTAAGGGGGTACAAACATACCATATTTTGGCCAAAATTTCCGAGCCAACCAGCATCCGAAGGTCCCCAGTTTAGGGCCACAATGAGTATAACAAAAACAAAGATATATCTGCAGCTCATATTTGTTTCTTCTTGTAAGACAAATCAGTTAATGCTTTCTTACTTCTTACTAAGCGACTAAAGTGTACAATAAAGAGGGAAGTCCTTTTATAGGCGACATCAGCATACAGAGATAAGACTTAAGAGGGAAAATCTCACAAGAACAGGAGAGAGGAGAGGTCACAAACTGAGCAGAATCCATGTTTAGGGTGTCAAACAAAGCTGATAAGGTTTAAAAGAAGATTGAAATTTTCAAACACACAATATGTAAATATGTTTTGATTTTATTTTTTATTTTAAGATAGTATTTTATATTCGGATATTATTCCTTTTTGTATAAAGACGAATTATTCATTTTCTGATATTTTATTTACTTAAGATTATAAAATAAATAAGACTTTTTGTATACAATAATCAGTGATAGGTAATCATGGTCATCAGCCTCGTGCAGTGGCTGCCACATTCGCTGCTTGTTGAGCGATGCCCAGGCCCTGGATTGTGGCATCTCGAGTGTGTTGGCCAACGCGCTCCTATTAGGAAAGTTTTAGATTTAGTTTTTACGTTAAAATATTACTAGATTAATTACTTACAATTTTCTTTCCAATTTTCTTCAGCCAGCCAGCTTCCGATTGTCCAATGCTTATGGCCAGAATGAGGGCAACGAAGACGAAGACCTTGTAGAAGTTCATGGTGAGATTTAGTGGATTCTTTGTGGAATAAAATGTGAAGGTGTTGATATTGCAGTGAGCTCTGAGCGAGTAATGATTGAGATAGACAGGGCAAGAGCTTTTATAGGCAAACGAAACACATTGACAGATAAGGCTGGCACGGGGATTTTTTAAAGAAAAAGTACCCCACAGGGAACCAATCCGTTTCGAATCAGTATAGACATCTGGAGGTACGATGGGGGATTTATTACTAGCATCCAACATTTTCGAAATATATAATCCCCCAAATCTGACTTTTTTTGGATGAGTAATGTTGGAAATGTAAGTACGCTTCCTGCTCACTTTTTATTTTTCAAATAATAGAAGAAATTATTAGAAAATTCAAACCATTGAACCAATAAAACTATTAAGGCAACGGCTTTAAGTTTATTAAACTATTTATTTCATTGTATTAATCAAAATAATATACTCATGGAGTAGTGGTATTTAAAACAAAACACTTAACACATTTACCCATAACTCAAATGCCAGAAAATGATTATTAATTTAAAATATTTCCTAAGCACGTACGAAGTTTAAGGTATACATAATTGAACGTACACGTGGAAATATAAATTTAAAGATATAAATGCCTTCAAAATATAATTTACAACGAAATTGAATAGTTTCCTAAGCCATTTTTAAAGGTTTAACAGTTTAGCTTTTGCATTTAAGGTAAACAAAAGTATTTTCTACATATGACGGCCTTGGACTTCTTTTTTCGAAATCTCAATGAAATAACTACTATTTTGTCTTAATAAGGAAATGTTTAGTTGAACATTGGCCCCTTAAGGATAAGGAATTCTTCAAAATAAACAAAGTTTTTTAAATGTTGGATAATTTATTTTCGTTGAACAATTTATTGACAATTTAAAAATTAGAGCAATAGAGCTTTAGGAGGAACTACCGCTAAACATATCTTCAATGGGCTTGACCAGTTTGATGCCGCCCTGCGCGAGTTTATGGGCTCCTTGTTCCTGTAAGCAAATTTGTTAGTTTGAGAACAAAATATGTAAGTTAAACAAATTACGAGTTGGTCTAAAAATTTAATAATGTGGCCCTCCGACTGTCCAAAGCTGATGGCCAAAATTAGGGCGATGACGGCGAAGATTGAAAAGAAATTCATTTTAAATTTTTTCGATTTTAACAGAATTGTGAAACTGATGACTTTTTCCGAAAAAGCATCGGTTTTTATAGGCATTTCCACCATCCTAGAAACGTTGCCAATAATATTTAAGCTTGATAAATATTAATGAAGAAACTTTTAAATAAGAATTTCGTGACTTAACATCTTACTCCACCCATAAACAATTTATTCATGAGCATATTTCTTTCTAGGAAGCTGTTTATAAAAATTAAACAAACAAAATTTAATTTTATTAAACGAGCGCGCATCTTTTTTATAGTCGTCACTACCTGTCGGCAAATGGAGCCATCTTTCGGCCATTTAGCACAAGCAAAGTGCAGACACACACCACCGAAGCAGAGACTCAAACCGACCAAGAACTATCGAAATATACATTGCGCGGTACTCATCGATGACATCGAATACGGCACAAGGCTGCCATATTGATGGAAACATCGATTATCCACTGTCAGCGCATCACTAGCAGTATCGATACTATCGGCATTGCTTTTCCCAGCTCTAGCGTAGCCCGACTTCCTTTCCTGTCAAAATAGTCGACAAAGGTGGTACTTCTTTTTCTTCATCGGCCGAAAATGGCCGAAATCCGCGCCAACCACAACGCAGTGCAGCAAAATAATGAAACAAATGGCCGCACTGAAGATGACACGTGGTCGTTTTCCGTACAAACCAGTGAAATGCCGCCGAAATAACGTCGATTGCCGGCGATTTGTGATTGCACTGCGTTGTGAGGGAGCGGTTTTCCCGTGCGATTTGTGATTTTAACTTACTCAAAACATTCAATCCCGGCGATTGCAGATGGCTATCGGCTCTAAGATTATCAAGCCCGGCGGCGCGGATCCCGATGCATTCGAGAAGTCCATTGCCCAGGCGTTGGTGGAACTCGAGGCCAACAGCGACCTGAAGCCCTTCCTGCGCGATCTGCACATCACCCGTGCCCGCGAGATCGAGTTCGGCAGCAAGAAGGTATAACCAATAAAATAATAATGGCCAGCAGTGGAATTACCAACCTTCTCCCCACAGGCCGTCATCATCTACGTGCCCATTCCACAGCAGAAGGTGTTCCAGAAGATCCAGATCATCCTGGTCCGCGAGCTGGAGAAGAAGTTCTCTGGCAAGCACGTCGTCGTGATTGGCGAGCGCAAAATCCTGCCCAAGCCCACGCGCAAGGCCCGTAATCCCCTCAAGCAGAAGCGTCCCCGCTCCAGGACTCTGACCGCTGTGTACGACGCCATCCTTGAGGATCTGGTCTTCCCCGCAGAGATTGTGGGCAAGCGCATCCGCGTCAAGCTGGACGGCTCCCAGTTGGTTAAGGTGCACTTGGACAAGAACCAGCAGACCACCATCGAACACAAAGTAAGCATTAAACCCCTCTATACGAAGAGTGCATCGTGTGTTTCGTAATGCGTACCCTCGATATTTGAGCTTCCTTCGCCATGGAGCCCAATCTTCGCCAGGGTACGCAGAGCAGCCAAGGCCAATTACTCGTTATTGTAGGCATTAGAAGCCATTGCGGTCCTGCATCTCCAAATATTGGTCACACTTCTAGTCTGAAACTTCGTTCTTATGTTGTTCGCCGGTTGTTACCCTAAACCAGTGATTGTCAAGAAGAACGTAAAGTAAAAACCAGGCAGCTATTCACTCCATAATGTTGAGCCGTCATTCCAGGGCTTCTGCATTACTAAATGTATGCCACATTCTGAAATATCCAATTCAGTATTCGAAATAGTATTTAAAAGAAAGTTCAGATATCTAACTTGAGATAAAAACAAAAATATTTTATTCTGAGGGATTTTCTCTACCGTTTTTATGTTATTTGCTGGAAGTTATGTCAAAAGCCAGTGATTGTCAAATAGAACGTAGACTATAAACCAGGCAGCTAATCACTCCATAATGTTTATCCTTTTATATTCAGGGATTCTGCATTACTAAATAGTTGCTACATGCAAAACTGTTAAAAGATTTGCTTAGAAAAGGAACCTTAGGTATTTGGAAATTTGTAAATCGTTTTTAACTATTCGCTGGTCAATTTACCTAAAATCAGTGATTGTCGAGTAAAACGAAGACTAAGCTAGGCAGCTAATCACTCCATAATGTTTATCCTACTTAAGCAAGGGATTCTGCATTACTATAGGCTTGTCACATGCAGATATCTGAACGTTACTGGTCTTCATACCGTTTTTGTGTTATTTGCTGGATGCTTTAATAATCCAGTGATTGTCAAACAGAACGCATATCAAAGGCAACTAATCACTCCATAATGATGGGTCTAATAAAACCAGGACCACCTCATTACTAAATATTTGCTACAGTTTAGAATATATTTAAGCACACTTATCTTGAACACCGTTCTTGTGTTAACTGCTAAGCGATTCCTCCAGCTCAGCGATCGTCAAACAGAACGCACATCAAAAGGCAACTAATCACTCCATAATGATGGGTCTTATAAAACCAGGACCACCTCATTACTAAATATTTGCTACAGTTTAGAATATATTTAAGCACACTTGTCTTGAACACCGTTCTTGTGTTAACTGCTAAGCGATTCCTCCAGCTCAGCGATCGTCAAACAGAACGCACATCAAAGGCAGCTAATCACTCCACAATGTTGAGCCGGCTTACTAGGTCTTCAGCATTACTAAATGCGCGCCACATTTTTAACAATGCCTATCCTTTATTACACAGATTTTGGTAACGTTCTTGTGTTATTTGCTGGATGTTTTGAAGTCCAGCGATTGTCAGACAGAACGGAAACTAAAATGCTAACTAATCACTCCATGATAATGCGTCTAAATTAGCCAGGACTGCTTTATTACTAAGTGTTAGCAACACCATTAATCTATATTTTATTTATTTGAAAAACACACGATGAACTTATAGAGCCGCCTATTTGCCTCCCAAGCGCCGTTTAGTTTCCTGGTGCCTTGGGACTTCCTATATAAGCGGAAAATTAATCCAGCTTTTCGTACGATATCTTCGCTGCAGTTTTCCTGCTGCAGTGGAGGTCACGGCAGCTGTACACTTTTGTATTCCTAATAATATTGAGAACCTTTTACTAATAAATGTTTTTTTTCCGCTTCAGGTCGACACCTTCACCTCGGTCTACAAGAAGCTGACTGGTCGCGATGTCACCTTCGAATTCCCCGACAACTACCTGAATGTCTAGAGCGGGTTCTCGTTACAAAGTGGCACTGGTTCGATGGTTCATCTGGGAAAACACCGATATTCTGTCGTGCAGAAGATGAATTTTTTACATGAGCTAGAGAACGTGAATAAAAATTAAACAATTTAAAACTAAGCACCTTCCAATTAAGCCAACTCTCTGTGTTATCCTGTAATTCACTCTAGGGGAGGTACGCTTGGATTCTACATGTGTTTGATTTGCAATCCTTTGGAACGGCGCTATCCTGCTGGGGTGTTTTTCATGTGTTGATTAAGGGCAGCCATAAAAGGGGTCATTACATGAAAGAATAGATCTCTGCATCATTCTTTTTATGTCTGCTTAACTGCTTAATTAAAAGGTTGACGCATGTTCTTTATAATAGATTCAAATTGTATATTCCTTCGAAATTGTCGCACGTGTGCCAAAAGGCCTGTGCCTGCCCTGTAATTATTTGATTACACGCATTACGCTTTCAAATAACCACATGTGTTTCGGGGCTAGCGATTTGAAATGGTGTGGGCTTTCTTAAGAACGAAGAGCTTTTTTAACACAGAGCACCCTGTGAAAAGCTTTATTACCGCCATATTCGAAATCATAAATTTTTGGTGATTTATTATTTCGCTTGCAAGTTGTTTATTAACTAAATTTAAGATTTCTAAAATAATTTTAATATAAGTTTAATACAATATTGAGGCATATGGATAAAATCCTTTTCAAAATGCAAGTAAATCCTTGTCATGTTTGTTTAAATTTTTAGCTTTATAAAAAATAGTTTTAAGACTAAAATAGTATCCATTTGGATTAAGCGGCAATAGTATAATTATAGAACTTAATACCATTTTAGTAAGTGTTCCTTTTTGTATTATTTTTGTTCGATAATTGGTATTATCATGAAATCAGTAAGCATTGCATTGTCCACAAACCTAATCAAGTCCTGTAGAAACCTTTGTTTAGCCACAATGGTCTTGGTTTATTTATGGAACTATTGCATTCCAGACCCATTTAAGCTGTCCAAGTCGATTGATTGCAGTTTTGAAATTCAATTAGAAGCAACCGCAAAATCACGCAATTCAACAATTCCGAAATGTTACACGAGCTTGTGGGCAAACAAAGGAACCACAACCGCCGATATTAAGGGCTGGGGGCCAAAGTCACAGGACTGACAGGACATGAACATGAAAATGAACACGAATGGCTTTAAGTTGGGGAGTAGGGAAAATAGTTTTGGCCCCAACAAGAGTTCGAGTAAAACTTTCGATTTCCAACAAATTGTTGATGATATGTCTGTTGTTTTTTCCCTCAGTTGTGCCCTGGGAATTCCCTGTGGGTTGTGGTGTTACAAGGGGGCGTGTCGTTTGGGCGAGACAGGTGGTTTGATGACAAGTTGGTGGGATTTTTGGGGGGCAGTGGCTCGCCGGCTATCGGCGATTCTATCTAAATGACCCCGCCGGGTCATCTATTATTGATGGTGCCTAATTGTGCGCCATTCTAGACGAACAGTTATCATTATGGGTGGTACTTTGCAGATGGTGTGGGTGGTGCGTTCGTCCTTGGGCCTTGGCTAATGCGTAATTGCGTCTTGAGGAACTCCATTCCACACCCTAATTAAAACGCTGCCCACACACTTGTCAGTGGATTGAGGGCACTTTGTATGTAGATTTTATTTGACATGTTCTTGGCGGAAAATGTTTATGACAGTCGCAGTTCGGTTCCCACCACATCCTGTTGCTGCGATTGGGACTGTTGGACCCCACGCAGGACTTCCAGGCTGTCCTTTTGACAAATTATTATGTCATTCCCAGCCGCTGACGATGTCGACGTCTTTCTGAGTCACGCCGCGACTCCCAACTCATGAGTTTCGTCCACAAATATCCGAATACCACAATCTGCTATGAGCAAACGTTTTTTAAGATTAAATTATTATTCATTTCAGCATGGGTTTTTCGAATTAAATGATTTAAAAAATTATAAATTTATGATTGCAAATTTAAGTGCTGATGTTAATGTCGGAATGAATAGGTTCTGAGAAATTAGCCTTTTATTTATATTATTTTTATTTTTTAATGTCAGGGCAGTAAGTTGAGAGGTTTGCACCTAATACTTCATGATTATGTACCACGAATCAATATCAGCAATGAACCATGAAAGTTAGTGCACGCATTATCGCATGCAAATAGAACAAAATATATTACCAAAAAAGGCAAGGAATTCTTTTTCATTATATAATTTAAAAGCGATAAACAATACCATTATAAGCAATTGATAGAATATTTTTAAACGGCAAGCAATGTGTATAAAATAAGAACATTTTTTTGAAAAGGGGAGATAAGTCTGTTGCTGTTGTAGGAAGTTTATCAGTTTATCGGTTCATCGGCTATAAGTTCTACACTTCTCAGTGCACCTTTAGTATTTATAAGGGGTGTACTCGGAGGGGGATCCACTATGCGTCGAACCAAGCAATCAGCACGAGACTATTCCAGTTGGCTAAAGTTGCCGTTCCACGATGACTGCCGTGGGCCAGACACTGGCTGATAAGCCCCAGATAAACCCGCTGTTTAGTTACTATATCAACTACCGAGCTCCCTGTGAGTGCTCGCTCGATGATCGCACAAGTATCGCCAAAGAATTTCTAGCCTCGCTGAGTTTTCTATATTTATCCAGAGCTAACGTTACATCATTTCTCCTCCTCCCACTGTAGACGTTTTCCGAAAGCAAGCAATAAATTATGAATATTACTGGAGGGAGATGAATTTCATTGGAGGGAAAGGAAGGCGGGATCGGATTCTATTTATAACTTTAAATTTTGGTGGTTATCTGAGTGGAATTTAAGTACTAATTTCTTAAGTTGCGATAACAACGATGTTTCGTTTCCGGCTTGGACTTAACAAAGTTTATTTCCAGCATAAAAACCTAAACGAAAATCTACATTATTATCTCTAGACAAAACATGAAAACACCAGAAAAGCAGATAAAAACGACACGGCGATACCGATGCTATTGGCAACAAACAAAAAAGAGAGAAGTAGTTTTTCCTCTCTCACCTCTCTGGGAAAGTGGGCCAGTTAGAAATGAAAGCGTTTGGGAACTTGGCCGATATTTACAGCTCTGGGATCTCAAGCGATGACGAAATGCCGCGCTCACAGCCCACCACTCGTATACGTGTTGTGGGTTCCCTCTTAGCCACTCGCATTGAGTATACAACCCGTTGCCGGCTTCGTTCGCGCGATTGTTGCTGCTCAGCCGACGTCTGCGCCGGCGTGTGCGCCAACATCAATAGTTCTGCCAGCGTTGACACCTACTCACTGTGGAATACACTACACACTTATGGTCACTGTGATTAGTTCTCCAACAGAGAGAAGAAATGGAAAATTAATTTTGGTAGAAAAATGTTGAAGAGTTGAAATTTTGGTTAGGTTTTTATAATGTTACTCTTTTTTGGATGTTTAAAAACTTAGATAGCTGGTTTGATAAGATTCAAACAAATATGATATTATTATTTATTCATATCTAATAACTTATATAATTCTATAATAAACTTAACTCCCAACCTTCGCCAGTTAAGATAAATATACATCTCGATGTCAACATATGTTTAGGACGATTTACGATTTACTTTTGGATAGATTAGATAAATTTTGGTAAGCTGTTTATATCATCATCCTCATTAAGCTTATCGCACGCCTAATTCTGCATTAAAAGGGTGAAGAAACCTATGTCGCCAGTTAGTCTGGGATAGTAATTACTTAAAATTAGCCAAAATGAAATTGCTCGTCTCGGTTTTACTTTGCGTACTGATTTCTCAAGAGGCCAAAGCCTATTGTAAGTCTAAATTGTGGTCATTCTATTACGGTTGATTATCCTTTTTCATATTTCATATAACTAACAGCTACGCCATGTCAAAGAAAAAACCAGGAAGTCGGATATTGTATGCCCATTAAAGAGTGCCGGAGCAAGTCCTCACGGCAAGCGAATGGATTAATCGATTCGGGAAAGTTGTTTTTCCATTCCTCTCAATGTGAATCTGGTGCAAATGGTATCTACTTGGTCTGCTGCATTCAGCCTCAGGAAAAAAGCGGCAGAATTATAAATTTGCTCCCACAACCGCCTACCTGCGGAGGATTGTTGTTCTGACACAGGATCTTCGGTGGAATGGAAGCCGACCTAAATGAATTTCCTTGGCTGGTCTTATTGGAGTACCGAAAATGGGGTGGAAGTGATCTGACCACCAACTGTGCGGGTTCACTCATTAACCACCGCTATGTCCTTACAGCTGCCCACTGTCTGAAAGGAAAGAATGTGCGAAATATCGGCAAACTGTGAGTGAAAAATTTGGTCCCTTTAATTTTAATTTAATTTGGTCTGGTTTTGCGAAGTGCTTCTGTGAGATTGGGTGAACATGACACCAGTACCGATGTGGATTGCTCCGTTGGTGGAGGAAAGTGTGCTAAGAAGTTTCAGCGAATGGGAATCGAGAAGATCGTAGCTCACGAACTGTATACTAGAATGCATCACAATATGTACAACGATATAGGACTGATTCGCTTGGACCAGAATGTTATCTATTCGGAATCTATTCAGCCCATTTGCCTACCCAGAGCGGTGGGTTGGGCACAGAGGTATTCCGGCCAACCATTAACCGTCGCGGGTTGGGGTAAAACTGAAAATAAGGATCGCAGTCCTACCAAGCAAAAAGTCGTGATAGGCTACGTACTGTTCAAAGAGTGTCGTCGAACATATCCGTGGATCACGCTCAGTCAAATGTGTGCTGGCGAACATTCCGAGAAGGACAGTTGTGCTGGGGACTCCGGCGGACCACTTATGCACTTTCGTAATGGAGTTGGATTTCTAGAGGGTATCGTGTCTTTTGGCTACGGTTGCGGCATAAAAGATGTGCCTGGTGTCTACACAGACGTGTATGCCTACGACAGCTGGATCAGGGATAATGTAAGGGCTGGTGAAGGGGAATACGTAGATATCATAGTGGAAGAAAGCGTCGAAGACAACAATATATATCCGTTAAATTGAAAATAAATAAATGTACTAAAAATATTTGAAACGGTTAATTAGATGACAACGTAAGTCGTCCAAAGTTAATTTAAGTGGGTACGCAAAGTAAAAGTTTCTCCAATAAGGAAGGGCACCTACAGTTCTCCTACACCCCACAGATTTTCCTGGAAGTTGGTCATGTCTCGAAGCGGCAGCATTGACTTTGAACCGAGCGTTGTTTGTGTAATGTTTACGGAATGTGTGAGCACAACAGAGAATGGCAAATAGAGTGGGTGGACCGAAAGGGGGAGGGATGGGTTAGCAGGGTTGGGCGTAGAATGGTAGATAATAACTGTGGACGCAGCCAAGCGACAAAAAATAAACTACAAATTGAATGGTATCCACCTCGGTCGACGTCGCAGTCGCAGCCGTCGTCGCTGCTGCTGATAGTTCTGGGTGCCACTAAAGCTGCGCCGCCGACGCCGGCCGCGTCGCTGGCAGCACGCGCTCTTTTGGATGTAAAATGTCGACCGTATTCAGCGGGCGTCGTTAGTCACTTGAGTTCGTTCGCCTGGTCAAGAACAGCGGAGAAAAGAAAGCGAAGCGAGGAGAGAGTGCGAAGCGCGAAGAATCCCGGCGTATCCGTATCCCAAAGATCAGTAGATCCAAAGTTTCCGTCGCAGTCTCGCGAATTCCAGTAACCCAAATTCCCGAACCACACCAAAAGTAGGTTTGCAACGAGTGATCGCCATCTGTTTAAACGCGGAATCGCGTTGTGTTTTTTTTCAACTCCCTAGGGAACTGACATTCCAATTCCAATATTCATAACTTTCTTACAACCTGAATCCTATGTTTTGGAAACTCAGTAACAGCGACATGGAGGAGTTCCCATTAATCAGTCCACTCTCACCTTTAGCACTGTTTGAGTGGTATTCCCAATCCCAGTTCCAGTTCCAATTCCGATTCCCAGCCCCCTCTTCAAACACATAGCTCACATGCAAATTGTAACCCAATTGTTTGCTCATTTCTGTCATTACCAGCGTCGATTAGGGGGAGTGGATGGGGAGTTTGGTGGGAGTCAACAGAGCGAGTAACATGCACACACCAAAGCCGGAAAAGTGCCTCCCCCAAAACCTCCAGAAGAACCTCCCCCAGGTGTTAGCTCTAGGACTGTATACACATTATTATCCCTCACGATTTGATTGTCGCGACACGCGTTGACCCACATCAATAGAGCGACCAAAACCGACAGACTAACTAAGGTTACCCTTTTGAGGAAGGGGTCTCCAAAACACAAACAACACACGAGCAGTAAATTCCCAGTAATTTGCGGAAAGAAATAATGAATAGTTCATAAACTACACTTCATTTCATGAAACTGTTTAATGAAGTGTCTACGAATGAAGGAGTTTCCAAGTTAGCCAAGTGCCTTCCTTATTGCTAATGTTGTGGTAAACTCTTTTTTTGTGATTTTCCAACTTGTTCATGTAAATGCTATTCCTCGAGTTTTCTTCTATTCATTAAATCTATGTTTTAAAATTAGTCATCTCACTCCGCCATATTTATACATTTTTAAGTTTCGCTTTCTTGGTAAATCGGTGCATACATAGGCTTCAATTGTTAACTAAACTAAATATTATTATTTGATTTGTTTATCTGTTCCGGTTAAACATTTATCACCGATGTGGCCAGCAGCTCAATAAGCAAACTTAAATAAAAAGTGATTCTCAAAACCATATTCGACCCGTGAATTCCTTAGAACCCGTTATCGCCACCCTGTTCATGAAACAAACAACATGCCATATCCCTTATACTCGTACCATCCCCGTCCAATTTTTAACGGAAGAAAAACTTTTAAGGCTTGTTCGATCTATTTATTTGTTAATTTAAATAAAATGCATAATCATAAAAGTCAGTAATTACACATTTCTGTTAAACTTATGCTTGTTAATTCCAGTCTGTGTTGCTTTAAGAGACCTAATTGCCTTTAAAATATATTCCACTTTTAATTAGGCAGGGTTCTTTCCCCCAGTGTAAGCATAGTTTGCCAGCGATCTGGTCTGAATTATCTTCAGATTGCGAGTGCCTTCAATTACCCCACGACCATTAAAAGCTCTAATTAAAGGTGGCAGCCGGGCAACAAGTGGCTACGCGATACTTGATCTCTTGCCGTTGCTCTATTAGTTCGTAGTGCTGGGAAATCTGCGAGGTTTTCTCTCAATAGAACACCAAAAGCTCTGCTAGCTGTCATTGGCATGGAAAATTTCCAATAAAATTCGGCATTTTGGCATTAAAATCGCTCGGTGAGTGTCGATATAGGAAAATAGTTGGTGATATGACGACGTGCGAGCCATCAGGCAATTAGCCATGTCTGAGGAGTATAGAAATCGGAGGGGAGTACGGGAATTGGAAATCGGGCCCGAAGAACCACTCGATGGGCGGTCAGCTTTATCGTTGGCACTGCAAACGAAAAATGAAAACACTCCAGAGAGAACGGGGCGAGTGCCAATAAAATAGTGGCTAACTGAAGGGGAGGGCCAGCTAGGGGTGGGTAGTATGTTTATTATTATTTATTATTGGGCGAAATAGATTGTTTTTTATGCCCCGGCTGCAGTGCGTTGCCAAGTTGCCGGGTCGTCGAAAATCGAAATTAGGCAAGCGAGAGGAAGTGGTTCTCTTTTGTATATGGAATTTAATTTATTCATGCTAAAGTCGCGTGCTCTTTGCCAATGAAAATGTTGATCAATTCTTGTGACAGCGTTCGTCAGTCGTTTCTGCTCGCATTCCCCCGCCAGATAGACCATAACCCCCGATTTATTCCTCCCTCTTTCCAATTAGCGTGCGTGGCTACATTTTCTAATTAAAAGATGGGGCGTGTTTGGAGCCCCCAACTGTGCCGAAACAAAATCGAAACCCCTCCCCGTCTGCTAAATTATCAATATGTAAATTGCTCAGACTCCCCTCCAATCTTATCTCTTTCTGGGACTTACGTAAGGGGAGCAACTCCTCGGCACCCCCATTACTCATGCCACTTTGAACACCTGGAGGGGTCAGGCAGCAAGTGAATCACGTCTGTAATCTTCGCACTTGGAGTATTTGCAATGGTCGATAGGTTCTTATCAAAGCTCTTAACCCGAAATTTTGAATGAATCAAGTGACGAAGGCGGAGGCGGGTAAGAGGAGGGGCTGTGGATGAGGTCCGGTTGGGAAAATGTGGGCCAGGTGCGCCAGGTGTGCACTGCTTATCAGCCGGGCAATAAGCCATCACACACGCACGAGAAATGGATCGACCATTCCCCATGCGCCGAAAGTGGTAGGAAATGTTCTGCGGGGGCGTCGACTATACGACTATACCCAGTATTCAGCGAGTCCAAAGGTATATGGCTTTCGGGTGGGAGTGTGACACTGTGAAATTCACAGCTCGGCAATTTACGATTGCAATTCTCAGCTACTCATGCAAATGTTTCAAAATCAACCGTCATTACGGCGAACTTTTTATCAGAAAGAATGGAATCTTTTGAAGACTGGTAGCAACGAAGTATAACAATAATCGGATCATGGATTTATTAGGAAATTTATGAATCTTAAAGAATTTTGTTTTTGAAGGTGCTTATATTTTCTGATTTCATATAGGGTGCTTTCGTTTTTCAGTCTTAGAAATTCATAAGTTGTGCTATGTTTGTTTTCTCAGCTGGCCAAGCGATTTAGATGTGTTTAAAAAACTATTTACGATTTTCTCACTTCCCACGAATATATATTTCACATTGGCAAATTTGTAATAAGATTTTACTTTTGAATGATAGAAGAAGAGCAAGTCTTGTAAGTTTATTGATTTTTCTATAACTTTGATAACTTTATATAATTTTTAGGTAATTTTAATATTTCTTCAGCTAGTAGCGAAGAATTTACTTCATGTGCTAATGAATTTAAGTTTTTTTCACTATAAAATATCTTGGAAAAGAGATACCTTTCAGTGGAAAACAGGCCTACTATGCAGACCCACTTGATATACATATATTTATTGGTAGTAAGGGTAGAGGTGTTTAGATAAGGAAACTATGGAGCAATCGGGCACCAGAGATTAGGAACTGCCGAAATCCCGGCAATTTGTAGAACCCAATGACAGAGCAAAACATCCACCTCGAGTGCCACACTATCCATCATGCAATTAGTTTGAGTTTTGTCCACCTGCGTGGTTCGTGGCTCGCAGATCCACCTGTGAACCACCTGCCGATGAATCACTGTTGTTGTGACTTAATGGCCTCTTTTGTGGGTGGCCATAATAATGTAGTTTAGTTCTATTTGTTTTTGCCCAGATAGTGGCCAACTTGCAGATCGGTGATTGCAACATGGAACTCGGCAGGCGATAAGCTGCGATAACGCCGACCCTGAGTGCCGGCGAACAGCGATCCGTGTCCATAAACAAACGGAACTCTGTTAATATCAAGAGCAAACCCTTTGGATCTGAGGGGCGGTGTTCGGAGGTGGGGCGTGGCACGTGAGGCCGGCAACAGATTTCACACCAATTACAGTCGAAACTCTCTGAAAGGCCTGCTAATAGTGCGCGGCTATAATAGTCCTAAACATCAATTAGCAAGTCTCTGGGGATTTGTTTTGATACTACAGCGAGAAAAATTCTATTGTAGATGATGGGCTCTTTAAACTCATAACTAGTTTAACAGTCAACAGTAAATATTTAACTTCTGAAAGGTTTATTAGCCTCCGGTTCTTTGCTTAGATATTACTCATTGTGGGCTAAAAGTTGCCTCTTTGATTAGATTTTATCTCAAGATCAGCAGATAACAATATTGAATAGCAATCATTGTCATAAAAAAATCAACTTAAATTCTTCAAAGCAACTCACAATACCGCGAATGAGTAATATTTCTGACTTTACCATATGAAAAATCGATCTAAGAAGCCACCTACCCAAGAATATTATTGGATTGTGGATTATTAAATTAATATTTTTAATTTGAATTTTATAAATAAAAACTTACTAATTATTTTTTTGATTGCAGCATGTGCCTTTCATCCCCAATTCCCGGCCAAAAACAGGGGCAGGCTGTGGGCCACTGCAACGGATCCTGCAGCCTGGACAGGAATGGCAATCGCACAGCAGCCACCAGTGTTCCGAACGCAGGAGAGCTGAAGCACAGAACCCATGCCACAGAAGCTACATCACACACCCTTATCACAGATGAGGACAATCTTGGATACAAGGAGGAGAATGCTGTCTACAAGGAGAACGCCCTCGAGCAGCAGAAGTTGCTGCAGGCACAGGAGCAGAAGCTAAAGGATTCCCAACAGGAGGAGGAGGAGGAGTACCACCCACAGATCAGATGGCCAGATTTGGGAGCTCAGGCTTTCCTACACATCGGGGCCCTTTATGGATTATACCAGCTCTTCTACGCGAACTTCTACACATTCCTCTGGGGTGAGTGTCCACTGTTTACCCTGAGTAATTAGCATCTGGATAGCAAATGTGTTGCCACCCCTGCAAACTGGTCACCAATCTCCGTAATTGCATCTGCCAACATGCAAACACAGTTTCAATAGTGCGGCATTAACTATTTTGTAACCCAACGCCAGTTGCTGGTAACTGGGCCAAGTTAAATTGGCTGTCTGTATTACAAATCCCTTTGGGTGGGGTAATCATTGAGTTATAAATGTAGATACTTAGCAGATAGTAATTAAGGAATCATAATATTTAAAGTAAAGGATAGAGACTCTGGAGAACAAAAAGTTTAAATATTGAATTTTAAACAATGTTATTTTGTAAAGTTTTTCTCCAAGATGACTCAAGGCGTGGAAATCTGAGTAGGTTAATGTTATGCAATAGGTAAACAACCATAAAGTTGTATTTGCATGCATATTCTGGCTCATGAACTTTGACCGCTAGCAATTAAAGTTAACGAACGCTTCAATTGCTCGCTCGATAGAATTCGGTGGTGATCGAACCATAGGAAAGAGCGGGAACGCTTCCCGACCGACCAAATAGGCCACCCCGAAGAACGGGGGGAATAGATAGATATGTATATTTAGAGCCCGGTGTTGTGTCATCCGTTGAGCAAATCAAGCGAGAAACGTCACCAGCCATCATGAAACTATTTAGATGGGTTGGGGTATATATATATAGTATATGTATGTTTTGTTTGTTTGTTTAGACAATGACATCCGTCTATTCTTCTTTCAGTGGTGGTCACCGTTTGGGTCTCAGGAATTGGAATAACGGCGGGAGCACATCGTCTGTGGTCGCACAAATCCTATACGGCATCGCTTCCCCTGAGGATTCTGCTGGCATTTGCCTTTTCGATTGCCGGCCAGGTGGGTGTTGAATATAAAATTCCCCTTTCAAAGAATATCTAAATATTTCTTTAACTTTCAGAGAGATGCCTATACGTGGGCCCTAGATCATAGGATACATCACAAGTTCTCGGAAACCGATGCCGATCCGCATAATGCCAAACGTGGCTTCTTCTTCGCCCACGTGGGCTGGCTCTTTCTCACTCCCCATCCCAAGGTGGTGGCCAAGAGGAAGGTCATTGACATGTCTGATCTGGAGGCTGATGCCGTTTGCATGTTCCAGAGGAAGTACTACATCCCCCTCTTCGCCCTGTGCTCTATCATCCTGCCGGTGGCTGTGCCCTGGTATTTCTGGAACGAGGACCTCTGGATGTCCTTCTGGATCAACTTCAATATGCGATTCACTTGGACCCTCAATGTGGCCTTCTTCGTGAACAGCGTGGCGCACATGTACGGCAACAAGCCGTACGACAAGTAAGACAGATCACTGTACTTTGCACTGTAATCTAAGGGTGAACCTTTTTGCTTAGCAAAACGTTATTAGCACACGTCCAATATCGCTTGTACTTAATTCCCCTTTTCACAAATTGCTAATTTCTATTTTTTTCAAACAATTATTTATAGTTAAATGAGCTTAGTTCCAGACTATGAGCACTAAAAGTTTATTTATGAACAGTAATTCAGCTTTAATTGGGTAGCAACTCAATTTGATTTACTTTCTATTATTCATTTTCAAACTGCACATATGGACACCTACTTATTTTTTGTTTTAGCTGCCAAACCATAAAATGGCATTTATAAAGAGCAAAAATAATACTTTTCAGTACTGAACATTAATCAAATAGTTTACAACTGAAAAACAATGTATTTTTTAAAAATGAATTCAGTTTTACAACTAAAATACTAACTAATCTCTTTCTACTTTCCTCCAGGAACCTTATGTCCACTGAGGCTCCCATTGTCTCCCTGCTGGCCATGGGAGAAGGATGGCACAACTACCACCATGTCTTCCCCTGGGACTACAAGACGGGCGAGTTTGGCAACTACAGCCTCAACATCACCACTGGTTTCATCGACTTTTGCGCCTGGCTGGGCCTGGCCAAAGGACGTAAGTTCCCTGTTATTTCCCCATGAATCCATACGTATATTCATTCAATATTCCTCTCTTAAGGTAAATCTGTATCCCCCGACATGGTCTTGAGGAGAGCCAGGAAATGCGGAGATGGAACACGCTTCCTGGACGACGAGTTTGCCCACAAGGATCAGGTGTGGGGCTTCGGGGACAAAGACATTCCCCGCGAGGATATCGTAGAGCTGGCCAAGATGCAAAACTAAGCGAGGCCATGTATTATGTATTCAGCCTGTGGTTTTCCTAGTATTAAGTTTGTAGCACCAAGCCATGCCTTATGCTCTGTTTACACGATCTGGGCCTTCATTTGAGACTTTTAGAGATTTCCAATGAACACTCAGACCCTTTGAACTAGACATTTGACCCATCAACCATCCCATCCCACCCCAGATCACTAGGATCGTCGTGTAGGGACGCTAATCTCCCATCGTTGCTTTCGTTACTTACCTGCGGGTCAATAAACTATGTTTTGTATTATAACACCGCTCGACTCTGGACACCCTTGGGTATATGGAGCTAATGCATATGCGAGTGGTCTATGAATAATCCAATACCCTTGCCTCATTGGTTTTCGGAATTATGGCGGGTTTTCAGTTCAGTTTTGGCTGCCGAAAAGCGAGGAACCTCTTGGGATACAGGATAGGAAATCGGAATTAAGGAACTTACCATGGAGAAAACTAAAGAAAAGGAAAAGGATCAGGTTGGGGACTCTATCCACAAGAAGCGCGATGCCATCTGGCCATTGGTTCTTTTCTATATCCACGTGAACATCCTTGGGATATATGGGATTTACATTCTGCTCACTAGCGCTTCGTGGGCCACGATTTTATTTAGTGAGTTCGACAGGTTAATCAGCTCCACGTGCCGCCTATTGATTTGAATGCTATTTAACCCCAAATTCCCTCCACACTAGCTGCTGTCTTAACCCTCCTGGGCACTTTGGGCGTGACAGTGGGTGTTCATCGTCTTTGGGCGCACAGGACCTTCACCGCCTCCAAGCCCTTGAAGGTTTTTCTCATGTTCTGCCAGACGACTGCCGGGCAGGTGGGTTAATCCCTCTTAAGTTTTTACCCACTACACCTATGGTAAAAGCTTTTGAATTAAGTTTTTACCTGAGACATAAACCCCTTAGCTTATGCTTTTACCTGTTGCTTGTTTGTTCCGGTTCAGGGCTCCATCTATAGTGTGGTTCAGGCCCATCGACTGCACCATGCTAAGTTTCAGGAGGATGAGGATCCGTACTACAGTAAACACAGTTTTATGTACGCCCAGGTGCGAGGAGGACTGCTGAAGTATTCGCCACAGCAGGAGGAACTACTCAAGGATGTAGACATGTCGGATCTGGACAGCGATCCTATTGTCATGTTTCAGAAACGGTGGGTTGTTCGTTTTTTCTTAGGTGGTGATTTCAATATTTCGATATATTACTCAGATACTACGTCCTGCTCTACATCTTCCTGAACGTACTGCTTTCGGTAAACACTCCATTCCAGTACTTCGGTGATTCTTTAGCCACTGCCATGTTTGTGGGCTTCTGGCTGCGGAGTCTGATTGTTATCAACCTGGGAAACCTGGTCAACTCATCCCACTTTGTTTGGAGCATCCACAAGGGCTTCAAGCCAACAGACTCGAATAGTATTTTTCTAATAACAAAGAGCTACTGGCCGCAGTATCATTATTTGCTGCCCAGGGATTATCAGAGCGGGGAATTTGGGGACTATGCCTCGGGTATTGGATCTGCCATGATCCGGGTGTTTGCTGCCCTCGATTGGGCCAAGGATCTGAGAACCATTGGTTCCGTGGCCGTGCGTAAGGGACTCACAAATGCAGTGGAAACGGGTCGTCCGATTGTCGAGTGCATCGAGGAAGAGGTGAAGTTAGAGGAAAACGCCCTGCCCACCAATCATTTTCTTAACCGGGAGAAGTTTATGTGAGCGCCTTGCGTCATCGCGTCACTAAAATTATGCGACAAATGGTTGCGACAGTCGTAAAAATAAATTAACCGCCATAGAGATGACGGGGTAGAGTAAACTGAGAGCCTAATTATTGGTCAGCATAAAAAACATGGTAAACATAGGTGCAGTTCGAAGTCCGTGGCATTTTCGTGGGCTGTAATGGAGCTGGAAATGGTGATAGAGTGGGCGTGGCAAGATGCACTTTTCGGTCTTTGTTGCCCAAGAGTAAACGAACTAGCTTACAAATCACAGTTCCGCCTAATTATGCATTTCCAAGCACACAAAACAAAATAATGTATTTCGTAACACAAAAGTCAGATATGTAGGAGTTGTATTAATATTTTTGACCCATTCAGATCATAGCTTTGTTTCCCTAAAACCATTTGAATTTGGATCTAAACGAGATTGGGTAACCATAAATCCATAAGTAAAAGTTTTGCCTTATTTTCTCTTAGTGCACTTATCACCAATTCCGATTCCAAGTTCGAGTTCGCCGCCTTTTCCTGTTTCTTTTTCGATTGTTTACAAATGCCAATTCATTTTGCAATCGGTTCGTTTGCTTTCCCATGCTCGAATCGGTTGGGTATCGGGATTTTCGGCATCAGGTGCCTTTGGGCCTGATTTATGGGTTGCGCCTAATGATTTTATTACCCATACGCAATGTGTGTTCAGTGGCTGTGTCGCTGATTGATTCGTCAATATTGACACCGCACTCAGTGAGTGCCCAGAAGCCTTTTCCCATCCCAGTCCTACGGCTCCTCCGATGTTTGCTCATCAAACTTGGTTTAGGCAAACTTTGCGCCTGACTTGGATCACATCGATCGATGCTAAAGAGCCTGGCCATTCTAATATAATAATCCACCTGGGTGTGAACATTCCACACTAGTCGCAACTCCACTGACTCACTTTTGAGTCGGCCACTTGTACCAATTCCTAATGACTCTGCACTGAAGTGATTACTAATGAATTTGCCTGCTAAAAGCTGCCACACTTAAAACATTTTATGGCTTTAACCATAGATACGTGATTTGTAAATAAAATGCTATGGAAAATAAAACCGTTTACAGGTAATATAAACAAAATATTTTATGACAGAATTTTTCATTATCTTATATATGTTTTGTAACGCCAGCGAAACCACTTTGTGGTTTTAGATACAGCACTATTACTTATTACCAGTTAAAAATAAATCAATGTAAGCTCTTTCTGAGTGTATCCCTATACGCTTTTAGCTGTTTGCGCTGTGGCAGATTTGAGATCTGAGATCCGCTCCGCTCTGTGGCAAATTGCAGTCGCGTAGCGTTCTGCGCTTTGTTTAGTGTTAATTTGTTTTCCATAAACCGACTGAGCGACAGTTGAAGGTTGCACAAATACGTGGAGTACGCAAAATCGCTGTTGACTGGTTGGCTTATGCAACACACTGGCTGCCATAGGCCCCAAAAACTACCTAGCTTTGATTTGGGCAGGTGCTTGGATGCTGAGGGTTCAACCCTGCGGAATGAAACTCCAAAAAAAAAACTTCACCATTCACGGCCTAATCGCTGGCAAATTGAAATATCTTGCGCATGAATGGCTGCCTTTTGAGCCAAGAACAGTGGAACGGGAAGCGATTAGGCTAAAAAAAGCACACACATATGGTACTTATGGGTAGAGGTACCTGAACAATAGTGAACTGGCTTTGTTCGGGGAACTTTTTAACCAGAACCCTCATATAAAACGCTGACAGTGCGAAAAGAGAAGCTGCGCAATATATCAAAGTGGTTTCCAATGATTTCTAGCTGTCTGCCTGTTTGTTTATAAACAAAGCCGAAGCCATCTCCGAGCGTTTTCTGTTTTTTGTGGCTTTGCATAATTGGCTAATGGCCGGGGCCTTACAACATCAGCACCTCATCAGCAGTATATCGCAGAAATGGCCATACCTCACAATCCTACTCACAGTGGGTCGAGATCAAAGGGTTAGGTCGCGTGACACTGTAAACGAACGTCCGCTGATTCGGAATGGGGTTCGGATATTTGGGAGAGAAGCTGTAAACCCAGTTTTACGATGGGACAGAGCAGAGGGCTTCCTTGGCTCTGGGGTTTGGTTTTATTTCGCCGAGGGTTCGCCGCTTTTGCTTTTGGATTTTAATTAAGTTCGGTTTCTGTTTCTGTCGCCGCGGTTACATAAAGAGAAAGCAACTCTCGTCTTCGGACTTCGGGAGCTGAACTTCATGATCATCGAACGGCTTTTGACTTTGGTCAACACCACGCACACATCCGCACTGTTCAGTTTAAGGCCCAGCTTAAAGATGACGACTTGAATCGATATTTATAAGTATATATTTGTATATCTTGAGATAGCAAAAGGAGAGATTGTCCGTATGCAAATAAGCAGCAGAATCGCAGAATCCAGCAACTGCGTTTCAAATAGAAATCGCTGGAAGGGAAAGGTCTTATTTGAATAACCCCATCGAATCAAGAATCTAACGGGCATTTCGGTTATGGGCCCTTGGCAACAAGAGATCAAGTGTGCGAATCTGTCACGCAGGAAGTTTAACTCTTTCAATTAGCGTGCGAAATCACATTGTCCACGTTACGAATTCGATTTCAATTAGCAAATGCAATTAGAATCGTCTGAGTTACTTGTAGACTTACCATACTCGTCATACCGCCAGTTCCATTGGATCTTTCGTGAGTAATCGTGAAAAGTGCCGGTAGACTTCTTGTCGGTCTCAGAGTTTTTTCATTTTTGTGAGGAAAGACCAGGGGGCATAAATCGTGCGAGGGGAAAACGTCTGGTCAGACAGATAAGAATCGACATTTCGGGGCAGACTCCGTGGTACTGTGTAACTTGGGGATCAAAAAGAGATACTACATCTTGGATAATAAGGTACTCATTGCTTCATTACTATCTTAAAATTGAATTTCCTTTTAGTTTTCAGGGCATTTGGCTTAAAACTATGATATATATATAGATATATATGTAAGATATGAAGAAATGTTAAATTTAAAAATAAGTTTTTTTGTTCCTAGATTTTCATAGAATATAATCGGGATTCCACTTATATTTCTGGGCTAGATCATCAGCAATATTAAATCTTTTGAATTTTATGTTTCTGTACCTAGAACTACGCATTTAAGTAATGTTTAAGAGAAAACTGTTTATATTTCAGTCCCCCAATAAGTGAACGTGGATCTTTCCCAACTCGTAAACCTTTCTTCGGAGTCTTGAGTTTCCCGCAGAGACAAAGTTTGACCTACTGATGCATGACACCCAAAGCCCCACACATTTGGCGTAAATTCGAGGTAGCGTGAATTCAGAGCTGCTGACTGCGCTGCTGATTCTGCGACGAAGCCGATCCGAAGTGGCAAACGAAGCTATAGCCGAATCCGAAGCTATAGCCGAAGCGGTTACAGGTGCTTGGTCGTGTGTGTGTGGTGGCATAATCTTGGCCTTCTTGGCCATTTCGTCTCTCCATTTCTTTTCTTTACCTTTGTGCGTCGGATCGGAAACTCCACTCCGTCAGTCAGTCGGTCAATCAGTCAACTTTGGCTCAGTCGCCGTCGCTGTCGCTGCCCCGGTTAGCTGCTCTGCCCAGGTGAGCCGCATAGGTAGGAACTTATACATTTGGCTACGATCATTTGTCTACGGAACGGCGCCGCGTTAAGTTCGTTAGACGCGGAAAGGAAAGGAAGTCTTAGAGCCCCTTAACCAAAAGCCCCCTTAACTCCATAAAACGAACCGCGTCCGCAGAAGTGACTGTGTGTCTTTGGAAGAAAGCCAAACTCCACCTCCGACTTTGGGCCAAGTACTCCGGCAATTAGGGCCCCCGAGTGTTTGTGTTAAGCTGTGAAGAAAGTTCGGCCAGTGTGCGCGCGGCAGTTACGAAACGCGGTTTCCGCCGGCAAACCCAAAAAAAACATAACCCGGGTTCCAGCAGTACACAGAGGAATAAATATCTGTGAAAGCGAAAAATGGGTCACCTGTCGACCTCGGAGCGAGTGTGCAGCAAGACGCCGGCCATTTCGGGGGAATCGAGTCCCCCGCTAGTGGCCAGGAGATCAAAGTTGCCCAACGCTGATGCCCAGCAGGTGCGACGCGGCGAGGACTCCTCTCCGGAGTTGCCGCCCCGCGCTAAGCTGCAGTTGCCGCAGAAGAGGGAGGAACCCCAGCGAGCATTGATTCCCAAGGAAATAGCCAAGCATGTGCCAAAGGACGCCATCGATCTTGAGGAGTATACACGCACCTTCGTCGGAGATAAAGTACTGGGATGGCAGTTCCAGGCTCCTCTGAAGTGGGATAAAGTGGTCCAGATCTCACTGCTGCACATCGCGGCTCTAATCTGCCTGCTGACCTATCCGCTGCGAAACCTCAACATGTACACCACCATCTGGTGTAAGTATTGTATTAAGCTGACCAACTCGGTCTCATATGCATCATCTAACCCATCCATATCCATTCCATTCCATCCCCATCCCATCCGGCATTGCGTAATGCCCACTCTCTCTTTCTATCGTCTCCAATTTGGAAATTGTGGTCGGGGATAGGTGTGGAAACAAAGAGTCATCTCTGATCGATGCTGTAAAGGGGAAAAAACACTCCAAGAAAAGCATACATATATAAATTAACATAACAACTTTACTGAAAATATATTTTAACCAATTTCAACTGGATATGAAATTTTAATATATATTTTTTAAATTTATTAATTTTTATAGAAGCCAAGGAACACGTTTTTAAAGCATTAGTTTTGGTCTTATATTCCAAAGAAACGTTGACGAATTAAAGGTTAAAATATCAAAACATCACAATCATAATAGTAAGGCAAAGGTCTCCTACTTTTCTCCGAGTGTAGATGTGTTGCTGGTGTCGCTGATGATGTTGTCTTTACGGTTTTCACTCCCCCGAAATCTGCCTCCCCACCAATTATTTGCAATTTAGCGCGCCCAGCGCCTTAAGCCCCTTGGCGTTTTCTTTCTCTGGGCCATTACAAAATGCGTCCCCTTGTTATTGCCTTTAATTGATTGCCGCTTAACACTTGGCCCCCTTTCCCCAGTCCAGACCCTACTATTTTGCCCTTCAGCTTCTGCTTTTTGTTATACGACATGTGTTGAAATCTCTTTCATTGGCTTCACTTTGGGTTTGGTTTTGGTTTTGGGTTTGAGTTTGGGTTTTGAGTTTTCAGTTGCTTGCTTTCGGTTGGCATGCAATTTCAGTCTCAGCATAAAAATTGACTGACACAGGTGGATTGCAGAAAACAAAACCAAAACGTGTTGGCTTAAGTATGCGGCCAAAACGAGAGGTCGCTAGAGAGAAAGAGAAACAAGAATCGCTTGACACAAATTTATTTGGGGCTTTGAAAGATCTACCCCACTGTCGTCGAACCTCGAAATTTAGTAAACAAGGTTGGTCTAGAAATTTCTCGGATCTTAATCCAATACTTTAGCATTTCCAATTGCCCAAAATCAGAGTCCAAACAAAAGAATAAATTATGCATTTATTACGTAAAGAACTTAATGGGTTAGAAATTTCTAGGATTCTCAGATCTCATCTTAACTTCGGGCCATATGCACAAAGAGATGTTTTATCTGTTCACTGAAGACTGATTTCTTAGTTACCAAGGCTAAACAGTGTATATCTGAAACTTGTATAGTACTTCACCATTTTAGATATCGTTTTACATGTTCCGAGCTCGGAGATTTCACAAGACAAGAGATGATTTATCTGCTCGGTAAGCACTGACTCAATTTATGAGCACTACACATGCGAGTAGAGCAAAAAATCAGTTGACATTGAGGCGCACTCGTGGGGGAAATCAGTAGTAGGGGGGATCCTCCATAACCGATTTCGTTTTCATTGGAATTACCGGGGCATCTGAAGCTGTGTACTTGGGCACTTCCCTCTTAATGGCTGTACAGCGAAAAATGCCTTAATACCTGGTAATTTTCAATATTTATTGCGCATTGTGTGGTATGACAGGTAAAAAAAGTACAAAAAATACAAGGAGTATCCTTGCACGAAGCGCATCCCTATTTGGGGCGTCGGGCTCGTAAATATTTTGGCAAATTGCCGGGCGAACGTGCAGCGCTTAAAGATGCTCCCTGGCATGCTGGGAATTATCATCTTTTGCCGGTTTCGTAGATGGCGAAAATTGTCGTGCTCAGTCCAAGATATTGATTAAATTCGACGGCTTGAAAAAAGAGGGAGAAAATGCTGCCGAGGGGACTTACATAAACGCATTAACATTGGGCGTTAATGAAGCTGGCCAAAAAACTAACATTTATATAAAGAGACGAGTCAACGCACCCTCCGATTCAGGGACACTTGTTGTTTTGCCGCACGTGGATCTGAAAAGATGGCCAGCGGAATAGCTAATGCAGCTTAGCAATTCAGCGATCTCCAAGTCAACTCAAAATCTAATTTCGAAACAGCCTGAACTTGAACTTTTTTGCAGTGGCCCCAAGTTGCACTGCATTTGAAATGCAAATTTCCAAATTAGAGATCCTACTCATGCGATTCACATAATGTGCACTCGGATTTGCAATGCTGAATCAAACGAGAAAGAGAAACAGAAAAAAAAAGTATTTTATGTTAACGATTTAAATAAAATAGAATCAGAATGTGAAAAAATAGACCCGGGGTAACGAAATATTAATCCCATTTGATAAGTACGTCTGTAACCCATTTGTGGGCATACCAATGTTGAATCTGATCATTTCCGCACTCTGTCTTGGCCTTTAATTGTTAATTTTGGTTTTTGGGTAAGACGAAACTGGTTTTTGTCGCAACACTGTGAAGGCTGGTCTTTCCTCCAATCCAACGGACAATCGATGAAATTCCCATTCAGAGAAATCGTTAATAGTTCATTAGTTGGATTCCGAAATGTGCGAGGCGTTTGCATAGGTTCCTCCCATATGAAAGATCGTTAAGCGATGCGGAAAAACCTCTTCATATCAAAAAGTAATTACTTCTAATTGCACCCATGGAAATATTCAATATCCAATATTCAATGAGACAATGGTGACAATGACATTTTACATATTCTAATTGAGGAACTAATGGAATAGATCGTCTAGAAGGGTTAGCTGCACATAATATTTCTGAATATGAACGGAATCGTGATCAGTCATTCACCGGATTTCTACAAAGTTCCCCTTACCAAGCTGAAGCAACCTTGTGCGATCTCGGTTCTCTTTTATACTCCATTTGTTTGTCGGGGGAATTAACACCAAACCTCAAATAGCTCAATTTGCGGAAATGTAATTTCGGGTTTTCCTTTTGGCGTCCAATTAACACTGCTTTTGTCCGAAACTTTATAGTCGACACTTACATCTATCTTTTTATTGACATATCTTCAGCATTCTTCGTTGGCGGCGTGGCTGGATTCGGAGTTACGGCCGGAGCCCATAGGTTCTGGACTCATCGGAGCTACAAGGCCAACACAGTGCTGCGATCCATTCTGATGGTCTGCTACTGTGTGGCTGGACAGGTGAGTTTTGGAAAAAGAAGATAGGGATCCCTGCCTCGACCTTTCGCACTCGTAATGCCACCTGAAGACTTGTCTGCAATTTGCCAATTCATTTGACGCGCCACCTTCGTTTTTTTTTTGTTATTTTTTGGCCTGTAATGCAATTAACATTAATTGCATCATTAAGTATAACAACTTAATGCCTGTCGCGACTGACAAACTGTAAAATTGACAATTCCAACTACTCGGGACTGCGGCGACTGACAAAAGTGCTTTGTGTATCTCGCAGATACATTTGTCTTATTTAATGACTGCAGCGATTAAGCGCAGAAGCTTAGATGCGGAGCGTGAAAGAAACATATGTATATCTGATGTATACGTACTGCGCCACCTGGAGATTAAGAGGAACAATCAAATTTGATGGCGTGTTAAATGAACCCCGCTGACCCACTAAAGATTGTCTCTTTTAGATAAAGATACTTTTAAAATGTATATGTGATTTGAGAGATATTTCGTATACATAAAAAAAACTTAGATAGCATCCTGTTTAGATATACCATAATTTTTAATTACTATCTTTCAGAACACCCTCTACGATTGGGTTCGGGACCATCGAGTTCATCATAAATATTCCGAGACGGATGCCGATCCTCACAATGCCAACAGGGGCTTCTTCTTCTCCCACGTGGGATGGCTGATGATGCTGAAGCACCCGGATGTTCTCCGACGTGGTCGTCAGATCGACATGAGCGATATTTTGGCTGATCCCGTGGTGCGATTCCACCAGAAGTACTTCATCCCTCTGAAGACCTTCTTCTGCTTCATCTTGCCCACCGTGATCCCAGTTTATTTCTGGGGTGAAACCTGGACCCTGGCCTTCATTCAGCAGTGCCTCTTCCGCTACGTGAGCAGCCTCAACTTCACCTGGTCTGTGAACAGTGCCGCCCATATGTGGGGATCCCGCCCCTACGATAAGTAAGTATAGCAGAGACAACCCATAATATTATGTCAACAAGATGCTGACACTAAAATATGCAATTTGGGGCATGAATGCAGGTCACTTTCCTACTTCTCTCATTGCTTTAATTATTAAACACTATTCTGATGACATAGCACGCGAAAAATGAGTATCACGTGTTAACACCTTTCGGGTAAAAATAGAATGAAGTTAAAATATCTAAAAATAAAAACATTCTGGAGGTAAACAGTATTTTCAGACATTAGATGAAATAATATTTCAGGAATTTCTAAGCCCGAGAGTTCTTTCCTATTGTTAGTTTTATCTAACTAATCCCTTGCTATTTCCCCCTCAGGCGGATCATGCCAAGCGAGAACATCTACGTGTCCCTACTGGCCATGGGTGAGGGATGGCACAACTACCACCACGTCTTCCCCTGGGACTACAAAGCAGCTGAGCTGGGCAACTACACCGTTAACTTTACCACCATGGTGCTGGATGCCTTCCATAAGCTGGGATGGGCCTGGAACATGAAGCAGCCATCAAAGGAGTTGGTGCGTCGCACCCTGGAGAAGTACGGCGATGGCACTCATTTCTCCCAGTTGGGAGGTCCCGAAGAATTCCAGGAAGGAGTGGTGGCTGGAGCCACCATGGTGGGTCATGTGCACTATGCCGAGGTGCCAGATCCGGATCTGGAGTACGACGCCGAGTCCAGCAGCACGGAGAGCGCCAAGCTAGATGAGAATGAGAACGAGGGCGAGCGGATGAAGAAGTCAAAGAAGGCGGCCAACTAGGGATCTCGATGATCGGGATACTGGCGTCCAGGCATCCAGAGATCGAGATGGGCTCGCGGATCACTGATGGGAAGGATCGCCACTTAATCTTGCGTCTATGCGAGGGCGGGACATAGTCGATAATCGTTTTTTAAATTAAACCCTATTCTATTCTATCATTATCTATATCCTCACACCTAACCAAGACACTTGCACCGCAATGGTTAACACTCACACAACGACACCCACATCCACTCATTTTCGTATCTTCATTTGTGTAGGTTTAGGTATTTAGCAGATAGCACGGTACGACATAAGTTATAAGTCACACACAAATTTACATATAAACGACAACAACAAAATATGCTCTCCGTCCGAGACAAATAAAAAAAATAAATATTTACAAATAAAAACAATTCAAAAATCCAAAGTGAATCGCATTTCAATTGGTCGATAATCGTGGGTCTATACGGTATTGTCTTTTTGTGTGAGGGTGACAAATACGTAGACATATAATGTGAGGTAATACCATTCACTTTGGTATGATCTTAGGATGTGATCTTGGAAATTTTATTGATGTCTGGAAAAAACCTTATTTAAATGAGCCATAAGTGCGAAAACTGTTTTAAAATTCATTTACCTGACATCAACAATTATCATCTTAAAGTAAAGTAAATCCATTCGTTTTAGAATCTGCGAACTTTAAAGACCCAGGAAGCTCTTGGCATTCTCAGAGAATATCATTTGTGGTAAACATAAAGTGCGAAAACTGTTTTTGAATATATATTCTAAGTTTACTCGAACCCAGCCTACATCAACAACTGACGTCAATCTTGAAGTTGCGAAATCTGAAAACAAACCCATTTTGTGAGTTCTGTCTGATTTTTGCGAGTGAGTCACAAGAAACTCAATAGACCTATGACGCGTGTTATATATACTTAAAAAATATGATCTCCAAAAATGATTAGAAGCTGAAATAGCATTAATACTTTCAGATTACTTTTTACTCTAACATTGCTAGATAAAATTGAGTTGAAACTGAAAGTTGCCTAAGTGTAACCTTAAGTGGACTTACAGATCTTACAACTTGTGAAATTTAGAGTGCTCTTTAAGAAGTGCTTAACTGTTTCCTAAAAAAAAAATCTGCATCACAAATGCATTGAAATCTTTTAAGAGTGTTAATGTGTTAAAATAAATGTGTACCCTTACCTTGCCTAAACAATTATTGAGCGGGCTTTGTTATAGGTGAAAATATCGCCCACTTAGAAAGACTCATTTTTAAATTATTCAGTTCAAATGGAAATTAAGGTAGCGAGCCCACGGTGGGATTTCCCTTTCACCCACCCACTGAAAATAAACTATTTACCAGCCATACTTAATGGCAATTTGAGGCAGTGACGAAATGCAAATGGAAATGGGAAATGGAAACGCCTTTTGTCATTGTGGTGACCACCATTGTCGTCTAAAGCACTATTACACATTTATGTGGGCTGTAGAGAAGGTGAGATTCGGGCGAATTTAGTTGCTGTGTTTAGGCGCCAACTGGTTTCTTTTGACTTTGGACTACGTGACGACAGAGGCATCCCACCTGGAGATCGTAACATCGTACAGTCGCAAGAACTAAGCTGACGCAAGGAGCCGCGACTAGACGCAGTTCCCTAATCGATTGGTTAACTTTCCCACCAGCCCCTCTTATGATCCTCCAGTTGGCAAGGCCTACGTGCACTTGGCACGTAGGCCGAACTCAGTTTCAGGAACGAGAACCTTGAAAAGGTTCAAGCCATCAGACACTCAAGGGGAATTTCTGGAGCATCGCCCTTTTTAGCATGGGTCTCATGTGGTTGGGTGTTCCCGATCGTCAGAGAACTTCATTAAATCTTTTCATGACTTGTTAGCTTACAAAGAGATATGATAATTTTATGAATATTTATAACCAATATTATTTTACGTGATATAGGGAAACATATTTTTCGTCCTAAAATGTGCAAAGAAACCTCTACATAAAGTTTGTTTTTATGTAGTCAACCTGTACGGTACTTGTCCGGAAGGTCAAGTGCTTTGCCAATATCAGCAATCAAAGCAATGCCCAAAAAAATGCCAAGACCCCATCGTGTCATCGTCATCTCATTAACTTAGTCTGTCTGGCTGTCATCGTCACCTAATTGGTGACGACCCAGTGGACACCAAACGAGCACTCAGTTTAGCCCATTTTCGTGGGCCTAGTTAATTGAAGGCTGTGTCATGGGGGCTGGATCGAGATTACATCAACTCATTGGGAGCCACTCAATGGAAAAGATGATTGAATGGGTGAGCACAGGCCTTAAAGTAAGAGCGGACCCTTGAAAGTAATAAATGTCTGCTCTGAATATAATTCCTTTAGTTTCAAAGATTTTATTTCTTGTAGATGAGCTTATTAATGTTATTTAATCAACTCTTAAATATTTGGTAATTTTCTTTCATTTTTTTTTTTAATTTAACAAGTTTTAACTCAAGAGGAGATGACTGATTACCACGGATTATAATTAGCTAGGGGGATTTGTTAGTGTGATCTTCATCCGCGGCCAAACTTGTAATCTGAAGATTTCTTATTCGCTTTATTAACTCAAAATATTTCATATGTTAATTTTATACCTAAACAATCAATAAAAATAATTCTACGAATAGAACGAGACTATGCGAATGATCAAGAAGATTCTATTAAGTTTTAAGCAAAAAACTTTGAACTCTTTTCGATATTCTTACCTTAAAACGTGATTATTTACTTTCATTTAGTAGATTCTTTTAACTTTTTAAATTTGCCAAAGTTGAACCTTAATGTTATAATTCATTCTGGTTGGCTATTTTTAACTGGCATTAATTAATATCTTTCTGGTTTCGAGTGGAATAGATAAGCAAATGATCAGTGGAGGCTGGGGCCATCTTGACCGTTGAGCCCTTTGTGGTAAACAAATCATGCCCTTTCCTGAACTTTGACTGGTTTTTCTAAAGATTTATGCGAATAATATGAGATTTCTTTTCTAGCATTTCCCCAATTTGGTTCGCTGAAAGAGTCAAATTTGGTAAGCGTTAGGCCTACGAATTTGAATAATATTTCGGTGTGTTTATGGGTATTTTGGCGGATCAGGTCCGCCTTTGGTTGGCCAAAGGGCCTTGGTCGCCACACGAGATTTGTGTGGGTGGTCCTCAGGCGGTACTTCTGGGGTCTTCTTTAAAGATCCGTCTCTTTTTTTTTGCCGGTGAAATTAAATAAATACCTGCCACAATTGCTCGTTAAAGTTTTAATTACGCACGGGAAAAGGTTGCAGCGGTCGTAAAGCAATCAAGATAGCGGTCATTTAATGACGTGACCGGGCGACAATTTCCAATTCCTAAGCGCTGACCAGCAAACCGTTAATAACCTTGCCGCGATCCGGAGTTTCGGTGACGAAAACCCCAGACGAGTGGCCCCAAATTTGCGTAACTTTTGCGAATGAAAACAGAAAGCTCCGTCTCCGGCACTCCGTTTTCCCCGGAGACCCCGTGAGGTCTCCCCAAGATCCACGGCTAATTGGAAGCCGATGCGATGACATCGAAGACCTGTACCTACAATATAGGTATACACCCATGATTGGCGATATGCAGCCTCTCAGTCGGAACTGGTATCCACAAGATACCCATCTATGATATGAGCTTGAGCCTGAGTGTCTATGCAATTGCCGATTTTGAAAGGGCACCTTTATTTTATGGATTTTGTAACCTGTGCGTGCTTTCGGTTTTTCTCGGCTCGGCTGTCGGTGGTCAATGGGGTCCATCATTAGCTCTTGATGTTTAGCCCAGCATTTGATTTATTTGCGTTACTCGGCCTGGGCGTTTGGCTTTGAAATTGATTTCTTCGATCGCGGAGAAAAGAAACCGCTTTGTGGTTCCATTTTTATTGTCCCGCCAGCGGCTTTTGCAATGCTGAAACCCGTTTTAAAAATTCGTCAAAGACAATGCGAACAAAAAAAGAGCGCTAAAACATACAAAACATATTTAGTTCAAACGTCTTGTGACTTGCACAAATAACGTTTTTGAATAAGTGAGACATCGGCCATATAGGAAAGAGTATCTCCACAGCCATATTTGTATATTTGCCAGTTCATGGTGCCGTTGTAGATCCGCCGACCGAAGCCAAAGCGACTGGTTTCGGAGCTTCACGTGCTCGTGCTTCTCCCCCGATTATGGATGCATTCTGCAAATCATTTTCATTTTCCGCGGCAACAACGGATAGTTGCGAAAACCCTTGACGCGAACTCAGCTGTCAGTCAAAAATTGCAGCTACACAGGTAAAAATACATGCGGTCTAATAAGGTCACCTGATCTGTTAGATAAATAAATTATATCACATATTAAGGCACTTTCATCTCCCCAAATATTCGCACTAATATCTCTATCTGCATAGTAATATGCAAAATAAGCTATAAAGTCCTATGATAAAATCAAAATTTAACTGCTGTTTAACTTGGTAGATATATACATATTTGATTTTATCAAATATTTATCATTTGGTTTTGGCTTTTGGTTTTTACATAGGGTGGTCGTGCGCTCAAATGTATGGAACGTTTCTTTGGGAGCCTATAGAAATAATTTGTATATAACTAATCCTGTAAATAAGGTTTAAGTATAATCTTTACTTTGTCTTGGGGCGATATTTAAACATCTTAGCTTCGATGCCATTTACTTTCTTACAATCCTTTTTTTTTTAAATTTTTTATTGTCGATTATTTTTTTCCGTGTAATCCCTACTAGCCTGCAGTAACACCCGCTTAGACAGTCAAGCAGGCAGTTTATCAGTTCGTAGAGCTGGCTTAAACCTCCGAATTGCAGTAACCGCTTTGACATTTGTCCCCCTTTGTTAGTGTTGGTCATTGGACAGTGGACAACAGACCAAGACATGGCTTGCGCAACTTTGAGGCAAGTTTTTCTCGCTGGCCCCGCAGTCATTTTTTAAATGCATTCCATTTCCGGAGCCCGGATCTCGCGGGCTGCATTTCGGAGCAGTTGCCAGCGTAATTTGCAATTCAGAGCTAATGACATAGACCTTAGTTTCAGATGTAGAATTTGCATAGTTTGGTAATGAGAATATGAGCTTATAGCTATTTATTTTCTTAGATATTGCGGATACCAAAGATAGGGGACTGTTTGACGAACTCGTCTAGTTTTAATTGAAACAGTTCTGAGGTGACCACTGTACCAGGTGTCCACAGTGGGTCCCGCACCACGAACTCCACCCACACCTTGGCGTAAAGCTGCTGTAGAAGCTCTTTAACGTTTATAGCCGTCGTATCTGTGTTGAGAACGAACCTGGAAATAAACGGTGTGTTGTTATTAGTGAATTAAATAATTTTTGGTTATAACCTTAAGAGTTAAGTAATGAAGTATAAGTAATATGGGATATGAAAACGATCGATCTTAAGTATTTCGACAAGCCGGGACTTATTTAACTCACTTTAATCCTGAAGGAGTTTCCAGATAATGGAGGGCGTAGCGATTGGTCTTATAGTAAAGAAATCCTTCTTTCGGATCATGTGGGGAAATCTTGCTCACAAAGGACTTTATGGAAAAGAGCATTCCGTAGGTAAGTTTGGCTTCCTAAGAATAAACATATTTAATGCATTTCAGATTGGATTAGGAAATTTATTTCTTACCTCCTCACGGGTAATTCCCGACTTTTTCGTGCGATTCCATTCTGCGTAGTGGAGCAGCGTTCCGAACTTGTCGAATATGTACAGATTAAAGATGGTCATCTTGCTAAAGCTAAAAGGAATCACATTAGCCCTGAAAAATCAAGGTTTTGCGAGTTTGTGGAATAAAATTTACTTTAACTACGGATGCAAAACAAAAACATTGGTATTGTGCTGCCAACCTGCTTCCTTGCAAAAATAAATACTAATTCCGCTGGTAGAACGCGTTAGGTGATTTTCAGTTCAGTGCTGCCCATCATTCGTTACATTTTCGATTTAAAAATTTTTTTTTTAATTTAAAAGTTAAAAAACTAGTAATTAAAAATACAAAAAAATTTATTTAATGCCTTCGTTGTGCCTATTTGCTTTGGGAAAACATAATAATTTTGATAAACATACAAAATGGCTTCAGTTATTTGCCTTTTTCTGCTAGTTTGTCCTTTAACCTAGCACAGCAGTTTTTTTTACTCTTATTTTTCTTTTTCTCGGGGATCTCAACAACAAAGGGATACTCCTTCGGATTGTTTACATCTTCACAGCTGGATCTTTGAATCTCTCTCTTGGTATTATCGGTTTTATTCTTACCTAAATCAATATTAACCTTTATGACCTCTGCTTTATTAGAACTTGGGCATGGCAGTTCATCTTCGGAATCCTCTCGACTGTCAACTGTCATGGGGTATTCGTCAAATTGGATAGTTTTTCTAGATTCAACGCTGGTTTGAGAAGGGCTTCTGCGTTTTATATTTATTTAGGAACTCCTTGGGAAGATACAAATTCTCTTACTCTTTGGCACCTTCTTGAAAGGTTGATCTTTTCAGTATGCCATCCCTGTTCATTCTAGAATACCGGATTAGGTATGCGATAAGGTCTGCTCCGATCCTTTCCTGGATGGCCTATATATTTAAGTAAATATAAATAAAAAGTTGTAGAAGTGATAAATTTCCCCAGCTTACTTGATTTCGTGTTCCTTTGGAATTCCCGCCCCTCACCTTGGCGATGATTTGGAATAAAGTTATCATGTTTGGTTAGCAAAGCTCCCTCGGAGGTGGGATTACTTAAACCTTGGCGGAACCCAGGTGCACCACTCCCTTGAAGTCTACGAGCCTGGTATTCCCGATTCTCCAGTTTCAATCGATCGTAATGGTCCTCCGGAAATCGGCGCGTAGTGACCGCGGAATGGCCGTTGCTGGTTTTCCGTTGCTTTGATTGCTCCTCCGATCGACGACCTGGGCCGGGATGAGATTTTTCCAACGGACGACGAGTCTTGGACTCGTCATAACCTCTATGATTATTGAAAGTACGGCGTAATTCACCTCCATCAGAAGGACGCGAACTCTTTCTGTTGTCCTTGACTTCACCACTGGTTATATTGGGTAATTTTCGGGATTCGTTGGTATTGCTGGTCATTTTTTGAACCCTTCGGGATTCCCTATTTTCACCACTTGTTAGTTTTGGTAACCATCGGGACCCATTGGTATTGGTAGTTAATTTTGGAATCCTTCGGGAATCAATAATTTCCCCACTTGTCATGTTATACAGTTTCTTGGACTCGTTGGCACCACTAGTTACTTTTGGTATCCTCCTGGATTCTCCACTTGTCATATTGGGCAGACGTTTAAGTTGGTCGCTGGTCACGTTGGACAGTCTTCGGGTATCCACCACTCCACTTGTGACAGTGGGAATTCGCATAACATTCTGCAGCCGCTTAGATTCACCTGCTCCACCACTCCCGCTGGCTCCACGAGGATTTTTTTTCGCTGAGTGGTGCTGCTCTCGTTCAGGGCTAACAGGTCGCCAATAAGGTCGATCTTGGCGATGTGTTCCCGTTTCCTGTGGTTCCCGATGAGATGTGTGACCACGTCCGCGAGACCCTCTCCTGTTTTCCTCTTCCTGTCGGCGGCGGTCAGTTTGCAAGCCTGTGGTTCTTAGATTGGTTGGTAACATGGGAAGTAGCATTGTCGTATTTGGTGGAGGTACGATGCCGCTTGTATACTGCTTTACTTTTGGTCTGATTACGTATTCTCCTGCAGAATTTGTGTAATTTTGATTTGAAAATGAATGGTATTCAGGGATATTTAAACTTACCTGGCGTCTCCTCAGTGTCAGAAGCAAAAGGTGGTAAATTGGCAGATGTGCGTACATTCCGAAACATCTTCATTCCCCTGTGTCCAAGTTGGGTGATTTCCGGAAAGAAGGTCTCCCACTAAAGGCTTTCGGTTAAGGAGACTAAGGAAAATATATTACCTCTTACCATGTAAAATATTCCGTATGCTAGGAGTACAGCCAAGAGAAGGACTGCCGTGAACTTGGTGAACTGCAAGAGGACGAAAAGAATGACGCCCAATATAACTTCCGTGTGCGCTACTCCAAGGAACTCAAGGCAGTGCCGGATCTCGCAGACCCTCATGGTTACCAGGTAACCAACCATAGAGTTGAGGGAATCGCAGATGCACCTGATGGTGTCCGCCATGTTTCCAGCCGCGGAGTCTTTGAGCGTCCCAGTGAAGGCATATCTCCCTCGAACAGGTTTTCGAAAAAGTAAAATGCGTCTACACGTTACAGGCAAATCAGAGGCAATTGGATTTAACTTGAAAGGAATTGCCGAAAATCAAAGTAAATTCATTTATTTACTGTACTACCATAGGATACAAGTGCGAAAATAACTAATATTTGAAATTATATTTATATTATTGATATGTTAAATATTTTAAATATCCCGCCTAAAAGGTTATTAAAGCGGTATTTTCTTAATATACAAGTATTTTGTGGTATATTTTGGCTGTATCCGGTCACACTAGCAAACAGCTGATAATCTCCCAAGTTTTGTTATTATTTTTACAAGATTTATTTCTTATCAGTAAGTTAACTTCCATAGCTACTGATTATCTCAGGTTATACATAATCATTAAACATTTTCCAGTTAAATGCTAAGACGCACAATGGCGGAGTTTGATGTGAAAGCCGGTTTGCAGCACGTGTTGAAGCGAATTGACGAGGTGTTTCAGCATCGTCCCAAGGTGATAAGACCCCAAGTAACTTCCCTTTTTAAGTCTCTTTCTGAAAATCGTTATCTTTCCCACAGGAAGTAAAAGCTGCTAAGCCCCTCCTTGTGGCAGTGAGCAAAACAAAGCCAGCCGAAGCAGTCATTGAGGCCTACGAAGCTGGACAAAGGGACTTTGGAGAGAATTATGTTCAGGAACTAGAGGAGAAGAGCCGGCATCCGGATATCCTGGCCAAGTGCCCTGACATCAGATGGCATTTCATCGGTCATATGCAGAGTAATAAAATCAACAAGGTCTGATTCACATAAGACGATTCTTACAGAGTTTCCGAATTGGATTGCCAGTACAAGAGCTTTTTAAAAGCAAATAGCCAAGTTTCTAGGTTCATAGCACCTTTGTTTAATTTTGCTTCTAGGTTCTATCTGTGCCAAATCTGAGTATGATACAGACGGTGGATAGCGAGAAACTTGCAACCAAATTAGACGCAGCCTGGTCTAAACTACAGCCAACACCTGAGCAACCGCTACAGGTGCTCATCCAGATCAATACCAGTGGCGAAGATGGTAAGTGTGGTGCTCCTACACTTTAAACCTAATTACTTATATTCTCACATCGCAATTCCAATAGTAAAAAGCGGAATAGAAGTCAAGGACGCCCCTGCACTTTACCAGTTCATAAGAAGCAACTTAAAACACCTGAACTTGAGGGGAATAATGACCATTGGCGCTTATGGCTTCGACTATAGCAATGGGCCAAATCCGGATTTTGTGTCCCTTATGCAAGTGCACCGATCTATTTGCGAGTCGCACTCTTTGGACCCCGATTCAGTGCTCGTCTCCATGGGAATGTCCAACGACTTCGACAAAGCGGTGAGCTAGAACTCGTCTGAGCAAGATTCTTCTTAATAATCAGAACTATTTCTTTAGATTGAAATGGGGAGCACAGTGGTTCGCGTTGGGACTTCTATTTTCGGCCATCGGGCAACCAAGGCGTGAGGAGATGAGCGGAGATGTGTTAGGAATGCGTTGCGGGCACTGAATACAGTTGATTCCTAATGACGTCCGACCTCCCGAATAAACAGCCTCCAAGTTCGTTTGTGTATCAGGTGGAACTGTGTAAACGCACACAGTCTTATCTAGTAAATCGTTAAAGATGATTTGGCTTTTAAATTTAGAAAAGAAAGAGATAAACAAATATTAGGTGTAGGCTGTTGTATCTTATATTCTATTGTTAATCTCTCCATAAACAATGCTTCCAGAGTGTCAAAACCATTAATATTCCCAGATACTTTCTGCACCTTGGAAAATTGAATACATTGCCCGCAGTTTTCATTAATTTTAACATTCCTTTGACTGTGTCTTTTTTCGTTTTTTGCACTTTATTCTATTTATATTTTTGCGCACATTCAATGCTACATTGCGTATTAGATTGTGGGCAGTTTTCCTTCTATATTTTCTTGTTTTGCTTGGCCTGAGGCCAAAATGTCGCCTGGTTACGTGCCAAAATTGCAGCGCCAAGTGAGTTTTCGCTGAAAATCACTTTCAATGGAGCACGAAGAAGACCCCAGCCGCAATCGATTTTCATTATGTCTGATCGATGAATTATGAAGGTTTTCTCGCACGGACCCCAACATTAATTGAAATGTTTTCCATTTGATATTCATGCATAAAGCCATCATTAATTATAATATTAGCAAAGGGGAAAATTAATTCAGGTGGGGAAAATTTCAAGGAAATCTTTGTATGATGGCCAAGAATGTTATGCAGTAACCGTATATATTTATACCGGACTCCTAAGATATCTGAAATATTATGTCAAACAATATATACAGTTTCTACGTATAATGTATGGATAAAATGTTGTAATAGTTTATAATACACTTTAATTGCTTGTTACCAATGACATCTACAATAATCATTATTCGTTAAAGCTAAAAATAAATATTTAGTTTATTAGCGTAGTTTCTTCAAATCTTAAGTTTTTGATTTATTTAGATTTGTCATCACCTTGATAGATCCAAATCAAAAACATTTTCAAATAAGGTAATATTTATATTTAGTAACAGGGTTATTGTATTATGACGTGGTACTAAGAAGTTTTTCTGGTATAATTGAATTTGGAATATTGAAAACCCACAGTTTCCCCATTGTTACGCAATGTCCATGAATGACTAGCGTATAGATAAAGTCAGATGTTTATTCCACATTTGTAGCCAAAATAACTCTGGTCCAATATCGGGTTCGTTGGATATTTATGCGACACGAAATCCGCCCGATCTGTGTGTATATACAGATCTATAGATTTGGAATTCTCGGCGCTTTTCATATTGCACAATGTACGGGGCATTTCGAAAACAGAAAAAATAAACGTAAAATGTGAGCGTAGAAATAGGCAAGGCAAAACATCGAGTATATAGGCGTGAATAGACATTGGCTATATGTTGAATATATGCTGCCTGCTGCCAAGGGAAATGTAGGTGATTTCAGCGCAAGAGGACACCTTTAGGAGATGGCCTCTAGGAAAGAGATGGGCCGAGCAGAGCAAAATAAAAGAAAACAAAACAAAATCTGAACATGGGGAAATGTATCCACAACAGAGAGCCAGAATACGAACCAATCCGAATCGCACCGAAATAAATTCCGAACATATGTATAGGCTTCTGCCCAAAAGCCAACGCCGAAAAGCATTTCTCTGCCTTTAAAATTAGATTTTTGATTAGAGCAGCGCCCGATGAGTAAACATCTCGGATACAGCTACACCATAGGCTATACCCCATGGCTATACCCCTACAGCTAAAGCTATATCTATATAGATATGGCCGCCAGCACCCCGCCGATCGCCTGGGCGGACCTCGCCTTGCAGATACTAAAAAAGGCATCACGAATATTGCAGATACAGATACAGGGAATGGCATCCGAAGATCCCCGAAGATTGCCGAATCCGCAACGAATGGCCCCAATGGGTGGAAGAAGCAGAGCTCCTCCGAGCTCTTAAAACATCATTGTCTTGGCGATAAAATCAGCCAGAGATTCAGTGTGCTCTGACGGCTCGACTCGATTAGACAACACATCAAAGTTCAGCACCATGGTAAGGATACGTCCCGGAATAAAAGCCGAACTGACCCGAACTGGACCCCAGTGCCTGGATATATGCAGCAAGGATAATGCCTAGCAGTGCAGTGAATTATTTGCATTTGAGAATGACTAAGAAGATATCAATATAAAGTGAACTCTAACTCCATGGTGACCCCGATTCACCTTTTATATAGTGAGAATAGTGCAGAAAATTCTATAAATGGATCGATCCGAGTGTTACGCGTCAGTAACGTAATCCGATATCCGTGTCGATGAGCAAGCGAGACGACGAGTGGCGCACGGCGGAGAGCTTACGTAATATGCGTCCGGTTTATTTATAGCCAAGTGGAAAACTTTTCGCCCTAGATACATATTTTCTGGCCTTTTCGAGGAAAACTTCCCAAGGAGGTGGCCCCTTCTGAATGGAAAACTTTCCGATGGATAACTTTTAGAAAAAGTAATTCTAATGACAGATTAGGGGAGAACCTTCCATTAAACATCCTTTAAATGAATCGAGGACTTACAGATCCTTCTAAGTTGGAACTTTCAAGATCTGAATTTCCACTTTTGTTGAAATTCATTCAAATGCAGACCACTTGACCGACCCGACTACCGACTTCGTAACCATACCTATAAACCCATTCCCTTACTAATAAAACCCTACTTTCTTTGTGCAGGCCGATGAGAAGAAGAAGGTTAAGAAGAAGAAGACCAAGGAAGAGGGAGGTACTTCCGAAACCGCTTCTGAGGCCGCATCCGAGGCAGCAACCCCAGCACCAGCTGCCACTCCTGCCCCGGCCGCATCTGCCACTGGTTCGAAGAGAGCGTCGGGCGGATCCCGCGGCTCCAGGAAGTCGAAGCGCGCTGGCTCCTCGGTCTTCTCTGTGTTCTCCCAGAAGCAGATCGCCGAGTTCAAGGAGGTGAGTTTTGGGAAATACATATAGCAACCCACTTCATACCGCTCCAAGCCCATCCCATCATCCAATCATCCGACCATCTATCGCACTTGTCAAGGACAAAGTCACCAACCCACTCTTTCTTTCTATCTCTCTATCTCTGTGTGGGATCGATTAGGCTTTCCAACTCATGGATGCCGACAAGGACGGTATTATTGGCAAGAACGATCTGCGCGCTGCCTTCGACTCCGTCGGCAAGATCGCCAACGACAAGGAGTTGGACGCCATGCTGGGAGAGGCCTCAGGTCCAATCAACTTCACCCAGTTGCTGACCCTGTTCGCCAACCGCATGGCCACCTCCGGTGCCAACGATGAAGACGAAGTTGTTATTGCTGCCTTCAAAACATTCGATAACGATGGTCTCATCGACGGTGACAAATTCCGCGAAATGCTCATGAACTTCGGTGACAAGTTCACCATGAAGGAGGTTGATGATGCCTACGATCAGATGGTGATCGACGACAAGAACCAGATCGATACCGCCTCCCTGATCGAGATGCTCACCGGCAAGGGTGAAGAGGAGGAGGAGGAGGCCGCCTAAGGCAACCGATCACATCCTAACTTCTAACTCAGCATCCATTTTACAGCCAGAATCAGAACGTTAAATCAATCAGTCAAATCAGTAATAATAAACGTAATTAAAAGAAACGCTCGTTTACATATGTAGATTCTCAGTATCTTGTAATCTCTTTTGTTAACCATCACCAAGATCCAAGAACCAAGTACCAAGAACAACATCACCAACATGATCAGCAACATCCGATCACAACTGAAACTGAAAATGAACTTCTTCAGCAACATTTGGTAGCGATCAGAACCATTTACCATGTATCTGTCCATCATAGTTAGGGATACTTACGATCACGTTCACTGTCACGGCAAGAACTGACGCGTTAGTTTTCTAGTTGATTTACTGTTAAATTTTACACGTAAAATTTATAAAACAAATGCTATCTATTTTATTTAAAACACCTATAAAATCAACAAAAAAAAACTTAAAAACAACAACCAAGCCGTGTCTATTTTAATCGCTGTCCGTTGAAGAACCAGTACACCAGAGAGAGATGAATACCAGATCTAGATCGAGATCGAAATCAAAATGAGGATGTGAAGATGTAGGGAGAACGAGGATAAGATGATGTTGATGGGCAGCCAGGCCGGATTCGTTAGGCCTGGGCCCGCGTGTTGAATTTGATTATGAATATGAATATGAATTTTAAGCAAGTTTTATGAGTTTTGTGAGTTTTTATGTTCGTTAAATCTCGCAGGACCAGGAGAGAGAGAGGCAAACCTATAGAAAACTATTGTTAGGGACATTTAACTGAGAGCCAAATATTTATCCTTCTATAAACACAATATTTATCGTTATACATATCTATCGTTCGTTAATTAGTTTCAATTTCAATATCAATTACGATTATCAATTATGAGTTATCAATATTATTGCAAGTTATCGAGAGTTAGGCTAATAACAGAGAAACATTAAGTTCATTCACTCAAATTGTTTATTGCGAATTTACATAACTTAACCACCCTCACCACAACTTTCTTCCTATGAACTATCAGCGTTATAAACCACCCAAAAAAACAACAACAACCCAAAATGATATCTGAAATATGATGAAACGATCAAACAACCAATCCAGTGTTTCTAGTTAATGCGTTTCAAAGCTTCGAGGAGGGTCCTCCTCCCCCGCGTCGTACAGGGGTGGGGGGAGGAAATTAGTTTGAATAAGGTACCCATAACCACTAGTACCTAGGCTGATCGGAAGAAGCCACTTTATACTATATACTATGTACTAACACCCAGCACTCAACACTCGACACGAGCACACACTATACACCATACACACCAATCCATTTCAAAATGCAACATGCAACAAGTTGTTAAATGCGAATCGAATCTTTACTTCAGTATAAATTAAGCTATACACGGCAAGATGAGAAAATTCTGAAAAATTTAACCCGGTCAGAAATATTAACAAAACGATCTAACAAAAAAAGGAAAACAAGTAACTGTTTTTATACAACATAACTAGATGATGATACGATGACGAAGTCTTGAAATAAAGCATAAGCGAGTCGTCTTGAAAAAACAACTAAGCACTGAAGTTTGACTTTCTCAGGGAAGGGGCTTTGGGGGTATGGACCTTACGATTTCTGACTCAGCTGAGCCATGCCGGAAACCAGTTCCAGGTCAAAACAAAACCACCGATAAAGCTGAGGAGCCAACAAAGCAGCCGATCGCAGTGGGAAACTCCCCACACTTGGCCAAGCCGATGGCCAAAACCGAAACTGAAACCTTCGAGCGACCAGTTTCCAGTCGAGTTTCGAGGCGCACGCATGCGCACTACGATGTGAAAGTCAGCCACGATTGCCACATTCATATTAACAGTACTTTTGGAGTAATCTGGTTATTCCAGGAGGGAAAACCAGAACCATGGCACAAACGGAACACATTTTCTGGTTCACTTCGGTCTGCTGGATTGCATCACTAATAAGTGGAGGTAAGTGCTGGGAATCGATTTCATTGTATGCAGATCTTGCGTGGCTAAAGAAATCGAAAGTATCTCAGGCTGTGTCTGTCATTTCCCACCACACTCTCAACTGCACTGGAAAAAAATTAATATTAGTTCATTGTTAACGGATCTATGTGTCTATTAAATATCCGTATAAACGGAGAGTGATCTGATTATTTATTTGGATAATACTTATAGATTATAGAATATGGTATTGGTATATTTTTTTCTGTGTACTTTTGTGATTACTCACCATACTCTGGATTGCTCACTCTCACTCTCTTTTTGCTCCTCTCAGCTGCTGCACAGCATCTGATCGCATATATCTCGCAAAGGGGTCTGCATGGAGAGATTACTTTTCGGCAGATGAATGACACCACTGTGGAGATCAAGGCCAAATTGGAGGCCACTCTGCAGTATCCCGACCAGGTGTGGAGTTGGGGAGTTCGCCGATTTCCCGTGGATTACTCCAACACCGATCCCGAGGAACGTTGCGAGCTGAGTCGTTTGGGATCGCAAGTTTTAACCTTTGATGATGACCTGGAATACCTGGTCCTTCCTGGCAATGAGACGGCTACATGGGAGCGCAACATGCAGCTTATCGGAGATCGAGGGATTTGGGGCAAGTCTCTGGTTCTCACAGAGGTTAACTCTAATTCCCGGATTTGCGCCACCATTACCACTATTCAAAGTTCCGTAGAGCACATGGCGGAAGCACGATTCAACACCCCCATAGCCGGATCTGTTCACTTCCGTTGGTTGGCCCCCGCAGAAGGCGCTGTTGGTGATACATTGATCTACTCTGATCTATACCACATTAGAGAACAACCACCGGCACTGGAGGAAGACAGAAGTCAAGCTGGGCCTTTCACCCAGCACCATTGGAAGATATTCGTGACAGATATCTTCAAACATGATCATCATCGAACGGAGGACAACTGCAACTTCCTACAGCTGGTTTTTGATCCTCAAGGTAGTGGAGCAGGTAACGGAATTGGTGATCTGGATGCCCGTCTTGGAAGGATAGGAGTGGCCAAAAATGCCCTTCGTTCACCACAACGAAGTGTTTTTAGGGATGCTCAGCTGGCCCTGTTGCCCTCGGATCTTACTATTCCACACCGAACTCTGTACCTTGTACTCTTCGATAATCAGCATCCGGATTCCTACCTGGCTTGCACCAAGGTTCGCCATGTTCAGCCATTGACCTATAAGTAAGTGGGACTTTATTGAGGTTCTATATATCGCATTTTGTTATATTTTTTATAACTATATGTTTTCCAACCGCAGAACTTTCATCAATTCTGGCGGTGTCAAAGGAGAAGTAACTTTTACTCAGCGCTCCAAATTCGACCCAACTTTTCTTAATTTCACTTTGGGGGCACCGCTTTCCCAGCATGTGAGTCGCAAGTTTGCCGAAGATGTGGCGGCCTTCCGGATTCACAGTCTACCCCCAGTGCCACAACGAATGGGTCGAGAGGATTACTGCCTGACCACCGGAGAGATGCATAATCCCCGAGAGATAAATGAAAACATACCCCCTCCCGGTTATGGAACGCAGGAACAGTATCCCGTGGGTGACCTCTCTGGAAAGCTGCAGGGACGCAATAAAGGTTACTGGCATCAGTACGTCTTGCCAGGAACAAGCTCTGAGCTAAATGGCCTTTACTGGGATGTCTTTTTACCCCTTCAAGGACGTCACAGCATAGCCCAAAGGAGCCTGGTTATATACACCTTCAACAGATCTGATGTATCCAACATTACAAAGATGATTTGGGGTTGTTCCAGCCTTGGGCAGTACCAGCGGAATGGGGTCTACCAGCAGAACATGGTTACAGCTCAGGTTAGTGAATAAACTTATTTTATATTTTCCTTGTTTATCAATACATTTATGTAAATATTTTTCAGGTTCTGTTCCGCTACCCTGTGGTGGGTCGTGTCATATTCCGCCAACCGGCAGAGCAGCCTTGGCAGGATACCACCGTCCTCTTTGAATACCTTATCCAAGCGGATGGATCCACACAGAACACAACCACCGATCACCGCTGGGCAATCCACAACAACGCGCCTGGAAAGGATTTCTACGATTGGCAGCAGCGTTGCATATCCGCAGGACCCGTGTTTAATCCCTTCCGAGTGGATTGGGGCAATCGTAGTGTCGACGACTTTTGCCGACCCAATTTGCCATCCATGTGCAGATTAGGAGCCATGGATTCCAGGCTGGGAACACTCACTATCGCAGGAGGCAGAAGGGTTGCACAGAAAATCAGCAGAAGGATGTTTGTTGACAGTAACCTTCCTCTCTCTGGAAGACATGGAATCTTAGGTAAATCTTTAGTCATCTATGAGGATAGTGGTCCTAAGGCCAGAGGCGAACGATTGGCCTGTTCCGCGATAATTGGACATTTTCGGCGCAAAGTGGTTGCCAAGGAATGGTATGCCAATGGTGATCCCTTGACCGTCAGTGGTCGGGTGGAGATTACCCAGCAATCGGAGTACGATATCAGCAATGTGGAAGTGCAGCTTAAGGGACTGCAGGATAACACAGGATACCACATCCACAGAGTAAGTAAATGGTAACATATCCAAGATTATATATAAATTTTCTCATTTTTCCAGACCCCTGTAGAAGCCAATCTGGCCTTTCCATGCGAAGCCTCCACTCTATATGGCCATTGGAATCCTTTCGACGTGAGTCCAAAATCATCACCGCCTGCTAAACGGGGAACCACCGATCAGTATGAGATGGGAGATCTGAGTGGAAAGTTTGGAGGACTTGAGGGAGTCACCCAGTTCGAAGATGCCTACAACGACACGAATCTTCCACTCTTCGGCTACAACAGCATCATTGGAAGATCTGTGGTCATTCAGAAGAAACAAAAGAATGCTCGATGGGCCTGCAGGTGAGATACCAAAGTCTTATAATCTTCACTTATTTCAATTTCCAAATTTAGTACCCTAGAGCGTGGTTATAGTCCTAGCGAGGCCAGGGAACTCAGAGCCATTGCCTCCTTCCATCATCCCACTGGATATGCCTATGGTTACATTAAGATGACCCAGCTTATCCACAATGATGGTAGTCAGTCGGAGACTGTGATCGAGGTGAAGTTACGCCATCCCGGCAAAAACGATAGGAACTCCACGAGGAATCACAATTGGCAGATCTTTGTCAATCCTGTCGGTGTGGATGCTGCTGTTAAGCCCACAATCACGCGATGTGTGGCCGGAGGTTACGTTTGGAACCCATACTACACTCAGTTGGCAGATCCTTTGAATGTACGTTTTCTATAGATAAGTAGGCAGTGTATCCCTCTAACTAGGACCTCCTCTTTTAGTTGGATCTCTATGAGCAGGAGTGCAGTCCGGATAACCCTTTGCGCTGCTACGTAGGAGATGTGGGAGCACGCTTGGGCACCATAGGTATGAACTCTTTCAACACCAATTTTTATGGTTATATTTCACTTTTTATTTTTTATTTGTACCAGATCTCGGTGGCGAACGCGTAGTCCTTACCGATTCCAACTTCCCCTTGGAAGCTCCTGTGGGAGCCATAGGACGATCAATTGTTATCTTCGGGCCAGAACACTCTCACGAGAGATTTGCCTGTGCAAATATTGAGCCCGACCACAATGTGATTAAGTACATCAACCTGCAGAAACCGCCCCGCTTTGTAGTGTAAGTAAATTAACACTAAAAAGCAATCTACCTTAGTTAACTAATCTCTAATTCATTTTGTTAGTGCCCAATTTCTGGAGGAGTTACGTTCTGTAATGGGAATCCCAGAGTGGATGTTGGATGTGGATGCTCGTAAGACCAAGGAGCTGCATGGCGGAGCTTGCATCCAGATGATCATACATTTTAAGGGTCCGCTGGCCCACCGACTGGAGTTGGATATGTCTCGATTGATTGCCGCAGGGAGATTGGATGCCCCTAGTCTGTTCATTCCGGGTTATGTGAACCAAAAACGAAAGGCAACCATCTCTTACCGCACCTGCGGTGTAAGAGATACCAATGAGAAACGTAAGTTCATATGATTTGGGGACTAAGTATAAATCTGAGTTTTCCTTTATGTTCAACAGGTACCAAGAACTTCAAGGGTGGCTTTTATTCCTCAAACTCAGCTCCAACTGAACCAAAGCCTTTCGTTTTAGCTTTAATAGTCATCGGCTTAGCCCTTAGGTTTGTCTAAAATTTAAAACGTAATGTTTCTTTGTTAAATACTCAAATCCAATTTAAGTAACACAGTAGTCATTAGGCTAGAGCATAGAAATCTGTAAATTAAAGGCTTAGTTCAAGAGAAACTAATTTAATCATTTCTGTAAATATTCCATCAACAGAGTTGACTAATTAAAAACAAAACAATTTGAATTTTTATAAAATAACTCGAAATTCCTTCACCAATGTGTTTCAAAGTTTTTGAAAGTAAAGATACGTTACCTAAACACGTGGGACCAACTTGGTGGTGGATTTACAATCGCAACATAACTCAGGAGAACTGACCTACAATATCCGGACTCGAGCATATTCCACCACCAATCGAGACCCACCACTCATAGTTTATTTCTGCGCATGAGTCTTGCCCAATCGATTTTTCAGTATATACATACATCCCTCATTCAATCGAGGCCAGGCAGTCTTTGGTGTTAGAGACCCCAGTGAAGACGCACATTTGCATCCAACTCCAGAATGCAGCTGATTCTCGTTGCGACCTTGCTGTGCCTGGCACTCGGCAGCTGCAGTGCATCCATAAGTGGACCTTTTATTCTATGGGGTCATTCCAGGGTGTCTGGTCTACAGTCCCAGGCTTTGGTGGAATCAAACAGCAGGGAACTGCCGCTGACGCAACTCTTCACCGAGGCCAAGGCAATTGTGGTCTTTGTGCGGAACTCAACCAATCGACTTGAGGGAACCAAGTATCCCATGTTCCAGAATCTCGTCAAGAGTGGAGCCTGGACTTATCTGCCACAAAGGAGTCTCGCAGCGGAACCGTTCGGTCTAAATGCTAACATCGAGGTGAGTTAGAGGGCACAAAAATGGTGCCACATATATGTTTGCGACGCCAATTAAATATTCTGAGAGATCAAAATAAAATTCTTCAAAATATATGTATATGTTTTTGCCGGTTGATCTTTGTATACAAGCTTAAATTTCCATTTTCTTTTTGTAGGTCGTAAGTCTCTCGGGACATGGAGAAGAGGACGACTCCGAAATTCTGTCAGCCTACAACGACGCCTTAAACACCTACGGTCGTGGGGAAGTGCTTGGCATTCTGGCCAGCCGAGAGGAGGAGGCTCATTTTCTGGCCAAGAGGGAGGCTACTCCAGCTGCCGAGGAGGAAGAGAAGCCAAAGGCTGCTGAAGGTGCTGAAGAGACTGAGGCCAGTTTCATTTATGTGGCCGAGGGAAACAAGGCGGTGCTGAGCTTAAATGGACCACTGGAACTTCGGCTGACGAATGACACCCTGAAGCTGGAGGAGCACATCAAGCAGATCACCTTTGATGATCAGCGTGCTAAGGGATATGGTCGATTGAGCATCACCTTCATGCATTCCGGAGAGAAGTGCACGCTGCGTTTTAAGTTCTCCCTGGTTCGTGGTTCCTGGACTTTGCGCAATGTGGAGGTGGAGTATAGGGAGCTGAAGAGTGTCCTAGTGGCTCGTGGTGATGAGTATACTCTGCCCTCCGCTCCGCTGGGATTCTCGTATCGTTGTTCCGCGGAAAACGTCAACTTCCTGAATCCCGCAAGGAATGAGACGATCCAGAGTCTGGTCCTCACAGATTTCCAGGTGCAACCGTGGCTGAACGGACGCCAGGAGTATGGCGAGGTCTACGATTGCGTGGGATTCGTTACGGCTCCCATCCTGGCAGGACTCTTTGTGGTGACCCTGCTTCTTGGCATCCTGGGACTTGGCATATCCGCCATGCTCAGCATGCATACACCCAACCGGTTCGAGAGTTCGCGCAGCAAGCAGTTAACCTTCACCATACAGGAGTAGGAGAGTCACTAAGACGATAATCATTAATGATCCAAGAGATCTCCGGAAGCCATGTTCATCCAGATCACCTATGTGGTGTTCAAGCCTCTGGCCTTGTTCACCCTGGCCATCGAGCTCTTCCTCATCCATCTGCTGTTCGTGTTGATCGTGCTTTACGTGTATGTGCTATGGTATTACTGAAGAGTCAAAATTCGAAATAAACTATTAAAAATTTATAACTGAAATGAAAGCCAGCAAGCCAGTGAAGTTTCTTTGAGAGTGGTTAAAATATCAAGTAAAATATACTGCGTTGAAGTGCAATTTAAAAGCATGCCGTTCCTTAAATATTTAGTGATCCCTTAATCATAAATTAAACAAAAATATACCAAATTTAATAAATTACAAGTTAAACTACAATTTAAATACTCGTGCAGGATAACAGATATAAATAAAGGATGCCATCAACTTTCAAAGAGTCTTATTCGATGGGAAGAACTTTAGTTTTGGTTGTTTTCCAATATATTAAATTATTGAAAAATCACAATATCTCTTCTTCATACTGGAATTTCTCTTAAAGCCTCTCTCTTCGATCTCAAGCCAAAGTTCAGCCCACAGGAAAAAGTGAAAAGCGATGAAATTCTGCACAGACTGCCAAAAAAGGATGAGAGGAGTCTGGCTGGAAATTCTGGTTATCTTGGCGGCGGCTGACTTTTGTTTTTAGCCATTTCTCTTCCCGGCGATCGCCAGCTCACTTTCATTGGATTGGTCCCGCAGCCGCAGAGTGCGCAATTAAGCCGCATTCACCGATAGAGATGCGTGCGGCAGCTGGATTTGGACACTGAAAGAAATCAGTAATAAAATTGTGGGGCAAAAAGATTGGTTTTAAAAGTAACAGGCTGGCAGTAAAAAATCTAAATTGATGTGATCTTGGTGGTGTAGTAACAAGATATCCTTTTTGCTTAAATATTTCATAAAATTGAAGTTTGAATATTAGTTACTGTTAACAATGCACCTGAGAGTAATCCTTTAGGATCAATATTCAAAGTTTTTCTCGGTGTACTATGCAGTATCTGAATCTTCGGCTGGACCCCTAACCAAGCCCAGTCTGGTAGTTGGAGGCTCGCTTATTTATGCATCATTAAGTCACGCCAATGGCTCGTTTGGGCCACTTTTGGTTTATTTTGCGTGTGCGTTTGTCCGGCCAGTTTTTCGGTTCGATTTCTGTTTCTACGACTGACACTCGACACCCGACAAAAGACAGAAGACAACCGCTGCTGGCTGTGGGCCACCCACTTTTCTCCACAGATTTCCCAAAATATATGTGAGCAGCATCTCCTTCTCTCTCCGAAAAATGATAGAGATGGAGATAAAGATCGGGGCGACTTATTGTTGGGTCGGGAAGTGGGTCGCCTTCGATTGCGTTCACTTTTCCCGCGCGGCTTTACTTTTACTGTCAACCGAACGTGCCCCAAGTTGCAAGTGGCCAGTTCACTGACTTAAAGAGAGAGTGAGAGTCCCGCACCTGATTCTGTAATAAGAATCGCGATCGCTGGCAAAAGTTTGTGAAAGTTGTTGTCAAACGGCTGGCCAAACCAAACCGAACCGAACCGAGCCAAACTGCCTGTCAAGGAGCCGCGCATATCAGCCACATGATGTGCCCAGACACCGAGTAGGTTCACTGAGAAAAATGTTTTACTTTTCAAGTTGAAACTGGAAAGCTTTTTTCGTATTTTGGACTATTTGATTGGTAAATTGTTAATGGTATGAAAATGGTACTGATCTTTGAGTCTCTTAATACAGAGATAAGTTTTATTAGTAATGGAAAATATAATTCAACAATATTTCTCTGTCGGCTGGGAAGAGTAACCGGTATGGCCTCTTAATCACAGAAGGGGCCTAATTTCTCTGTCATCGATGTGATGAGTGCGCCGTTCATTTGATTTAATTGCAAGTTGCAACCGCACCATAGACCAATCGGTGTACTTTCCTCGAGGGCCTTATATAAGAACTCAATCCATAGGGTAGCCCCGGATAATGCGGCATGAAATTGAATTATTTTCACGGAAGCTGGAGGTGAGAGATTCGAGGCGCGGATGCACCACAATAGAGTGGCTTTATGAGGGGGGCTTAATCAATTCAAAGGGCTGCAAGCAGCGGAAATGGCTTTGTATCTGTATCTTTGTATCTGCGACTATTGCTGTGATGTTTATCTGCGAGATTCGTGCACTTGGCGATGAGGTAATGGAATTCATGAGGATTACGAGTGCATCATGGGATGATCAGACCAAAGACTTCGAGATGCATTCGAGTAGTTTCTCCCCAGATTGACCAACTTCTCCTGGCCACATCCATCTGGTCATGGCTCAGAAACCGGGGCAAGCGATCAATCCTAACGATCAATCCACTCGCTGAAAGTTGCAGTCATCCCGAGTCACTTAGGAGCCGAGTTTGCAGTTTTCAAGTGGCAGCGGCTAGTTGTGGGTCTCATAATTACTTCGCTCAATATTTGTGTTAAAGTTTTACGATTATTGCCACATTTTTCCAGCGAAAGAGAAATCGCCAATTGGCAGGATTGGCAGATGTCTCTGGCGGGGGAAAAGCCGCGTTTCGAGGCATAAGCAGTTGCCTCAGAGAGCTGACAAATAGCTAATAGCAGTGAAAAGTGCGCAGGCGCACTCGAAATGAAATGGAAAAGCTAAATAGCAAAAAAAAAACGCCTAAAATTGGCGACATTTCGCACATGAACATGAAGTGTGGAGCGTCGAACAACGAACATTACCATTAACCATTAACCAACAGGCGACAGTCCGATGCGTTTAGTAAATCAAACCGTTAATTACTTGATTTGGTAAGCGGTTTCCCAATGCCCCTGTTTGCTTTTTTTCCTGTCCCCCATTTAACAATTTCTCGCAAATATTTGCACACCTGTCGGCCGCTGCGTTGGCGAAAAGTGAAATGCGTTTAGAAAGGAAGAGGAAGATCTGTGACCATGTGGGACTACTCATTCCGTAGATAAAGATACAGATGGCACCGCACCATTGCCGGGGACCTTGACTTATTAACACCCAATCCAATTCCAGGGCCCCCCTGGTACTTCGGATTACGGCAGATGAGTACGCTAACTTAGCCAGATGTACCAGTATTTTTATGACCGTGTCGCAAGCTTAACGCCCTGTTAAGCCGGCTAAATGCAAATGCCGCACACAACTTGCCGCGAATAAATGGGCTCGATCCGACCCCCGATCTCCGAACCCCTCGGAAAATGCCCTGCCAGATACCACTCACCTTTGTGGGAGCTCGTTAATTGCTCCGCTTTGGTTACAGTTTGTGGAGCGTCTTCCAATTGCGCGCAACACGTGAAGGTGGCGCAATTTTCGGGCTCTTGGAACTCGGGTCTTTGGTCTACATGCATGCAGATAGACCGTTTGCCCCGAGGCCGAATCTTTTGGCCAAGGCGCTGGCAATGGTTTGCTCCAATCAGTTCCCGTCGATCTCGGCTCATTCTGGCTCATATTCCGCCACACCGAAAACAATAAAGTATTATCTAAATAAACTGTTTTATTTTCTTAACTTTATATCAAAAGTTGTATCTT